CTCATACCCAGCAGAAACTATTTGCCCTTATCTCTAATTTGTTGTAGAGAGAGTATAAGCAATAATAGGAAGGAACAAGGGTTTTTGCTGGTTGAGATAAGGATAGCTATACAGGGCATTGACTCACATTGATTTCCTGTGCGTGGGTGTGTTACCTTCTAGGTTAATTCTTTTTGATCTAACCTTTTTCTCTAGTCCTGGTCCCTTTTCCTATTGGCCTCAGTTGCTTTAAGGTATCTGCTTTAGTTTCTCTGCGTTAAGGGCAACAAATGCTAGCTAGTTTTTTAGGTGTCTTACCTATCCTCACCCCTCCTTGTGTGCTCTGCTTTTATCATGTGCTCAAAGTCCAATCCCCTTGTTGTGTTTGCCCTTGATCTAATGTCCACATATGAGGGAGAACATATGATTTTTGGTCTTTTGGGCCAGGCTAACCTCACTCAGAATGATGTTCTCCAATTCCATCCATTTACCAGCGAATGATAACATTTCGTTCTTCTTCATGGCTGCATAAAATTCCATTGTGTATAATACCACATTTTCTTAATCCATTCGTCAGTGGTGGGGCATCTTGGCTGTTTCCATAACTTGGCTATTTGTGAATAGTGCCGCAATAAACATGGGTGTGCAGGTGCCTCTGGAGTAACCTGTGTCACAGTCTTTTGGGTATATCCCAAGAGTGGTATTGCTGGATCAAATGGTAGATCGATGTTAGCTTTTTAAGTAGCTCCAATTTTTTTTCCAGAGTGGTTGTACTAGTTTTACATTCCCACCAGCAGTGTAAGAGGGTCCTTTTTCCCACATCCTCGCCAACACCTGTTGTTGGTGGTGTTGCTGATGATGGCTATTCTAACAGGGGTAAGGTGGAATCTTAGTGTGGTTTTAATTTGCATTTCCTTTATTGCTAGAGATGGTGAGCATTTTTTCATGTGTTTTTTGGCCATTTGAATTTCTTCTTTTGAGAAAGTTCTGTTTAGTTCACTTGCCCATTTCTTTATTGGTTCATTAGTTTTGGGAGAATTTAAGTTTTTTTAAGTTCCCTATATATTTCTGGTTATCAGTCCTTTGTGCTGATGAATATAGAATTTGCAAATATTTTCTCCCATATTCTGGTTATCAGTCCTTTGTCTGATGTATAGTTGGCAAATATTTTCTCCCACTCTGTGGGTGTTCTCTTCAGTTTCAGGTAAGGAAATTGAGGCTAAGTGAAGTATTCTGTTTGAGAGCAGTCAGTAATAGAGCTAGGATTGGAACATTTATCTAAAACCAGGCCATCAACTTTATACTGTGCTTTTAATTAAACATTTTCACCCAGCTGTCTAACAAGTATATCAGATATATCCTATGCTGAATGCCCTCTCAGAATCCCTTTATCACACCTTCTTTTCCAGACAGAGAGAGAACATGAAAACTCCATCTCAGTGAATAATTATCCTTCTAGTTTTTCAAACCGGAATGTTAATAAGACTTAACCTGGACATCTCTCTATCTCTTCACACTATGGCCATCTGACCCAGGGGAGCATTAATTCCTGTGCATTCTCCTGCTTTAACATGACCTACAAAGCCGTGCCCTCTTCACTTCTACTGCTGTCATAATTGAGAGTTTTATCTTGATCTGGATTGCCATTATAAAGACCTTTAGCTTCTCAAATTATCTGACCTGAAGAACCAAGGTTTCTTGTTTTTGTTTAAAAAAAAAAACTTTTAATCTGTTACAGAAATTGTGTAGCATATAAAAGATTAATCATTAGAAAAATAAAATGAAAAAGGTCATGCAAAAAATAAATCCCATTTTAAACATTATTAAGTTCAACAGACATAAAATTACTCTGTCAGATTGTAATAAAAGTTTTCAAATACTAATTTTCTATGCCTGTCTTGTCACAGATGGGTAACAAACAGTTTGTGGATTGGCACTGGTCCACAGACAACATCAAGGAGCTCTGGTTCACAGTAGCTGATGAGAAGAAATGTCATCAGTTTCCTTAGATTGTAACCACATGGGTCTATGTTATTTAAAAGTGAACATTTCATCTAGAACTTTTTGGCTTGTAAATAGCTTCTATATGTGTATTTAAGAAGTTTTAGAAAATTCCCTGTTTCTTTAGGAGACTATCTTTTAGTAAGAATAAATCCTATTAGAGCAAGGAATAATCGTGTGTTACATAGTAATTTATGCTAAAATAAAATTGTACTGACTTAAGAATCAAACAAACATTTTAAAGTACATTTGTAGTACAATGTTCATGGGCTACTTGCAATAAAAGCAGTTTTCCGTGGTTTAATGTATTTAACTTGGAAGATTGTATATGCCAAAACAGCATGCTTCTAATACAAGTAAACTATAGCAGATGGTTTCATGTGCTCCATTTCTGAAAGATTAAAATCCTACATAAGAATTGATCTGATGGGGAATTATATAATGAAAACCCTCTGGATTTTGCCAGGCTTCTGACTGAGATCTTCTCAGAAGATTTGGTGTTAAGGAAGAGCCAATAGGAGGTGGTAGATGGTCAAACTATAGAATATCCTTTGGCTTTAAACAGGGCATGGCCGAAGAAGCAAACTCCAAAACAGTGTTCTCAGGGGACAGCGTTGAGGAATGAGAATGCTGTAAATATTAAGCTGAGACTACCCAATGTTGGTTAGAATTTGCTAAATAAAACTCTTCTGACTAGACCACATTGTTGTCTACATCTCCGCACAGAAGAAAGCACGTGGGGCAAAGGCCTGAGGGAGCACAATCTTCACTTGTGAGTTAAATAAAATCAGAAAAGGACTTTAGATGTCTTTTTAAAAAAACATAATCAATTTACAATACTGTGTCAGCCTGAAAAACCACCACAGAAAATTTCTAACTCTTAAGAATTTATCAAGTTCAAAAATAATTTTCAAAGGATTCTAATACAGTAACATTTGCTGTATTGATGAAGTTAATACATTAGCATTTGCTGTATTAAGTGAATGCTCCATTGAAACAAACTCACTAGCCAGTGGGGTACTATAGGGAGCTTAGGAAATGAATTCTTAAAAGCAGGATGGTATAACTCCTCTTCCATTTCTAGACCATTCACCAGAGATAGGTAGATGGCCATACTGACAAAGTGATTGACAGTTTCATTCAAAGAAAACTTTTAAGTTAACATAACCTTTACAAAGTTTAGAAGGGAAAAGAGTTAGGAAAAGACCACCTAATTGGTGTTTGTGTGCTCACCAAAGTGGAATGGATGAGGTAAAAAAATGAAAATTACACTTAAGAAGTAATAAAGAAAAAGGTAAAAAACAAAATGATGACATTGTAGCAAATCAGATGTTTGCTAGGAGCACGTGAGAGTGATTTTTTAACAAGCTTCCATGTGATGAGGGTACTGGTCCTCATACCAGTCTTTGAGTAGCAGAATTGCAATTTTTATTCTAATATTTATTAGTGTTTAATTTCATGAATTATGAGTTGCTACTGTTGGATTACTGTTTGTATAATAGCACAAAATACATAGCATACAAAACAATACATTTAAGCTAGATGCTAAGTGGTTTAATGTAAGCTTTCCTCTTTTATTAAATTAGTATGAGTAGAAGGATGCAACATAGTAAGGAAAGAGCCTAAAATTTGGAATTATATTTATATATATATATATATATTATATATATATATATATATATATTTTTTTTTTTTTTTTTTGGAATTATATTTCTCTCTCTCTATATATATATATTTTTTTTTTTTGAGGTTACTGAGGTTTGAACTCAGGGTCTTAGGTTTGCCAGGCAAATGGGCTACCCTTAACCCTTAGCCCTCAAAATCAGATTTTTAGATTTGAGCTCTAAATCAGTTTTGTGAGTAAGAAGCTGTATGACTATGAAAATAAACTAACCTGTTTTTGTTTTTCTGCTTTTTTATTTCTGAAATAGAGTGTTTGTCACTTTGTATAATTGTTGTGAGGTTGAGAGGGTCAGAAATGATTTGTATGAAGTACCTTTTAGGGAAAGGTTAATGATGGCTTCAGTTTGATAACTTTTGATACCTTTAAAAGGTAAACTTTTATGATTTTTAAATAAAGAATATTGAATTGTCTTAATGCTCCAGTTTCTGAAGTGTATGTGAGATTATTTTCCCTTTTAATTTTTGAGGCCTTTTTTTTTCCAGTGACTCTTGACAAATTAGAGGGAGGTTCTTTGTAGTTTGTAAAAGCTCACACCACTTCCAGACTCCAAGGTCCACTAACACTTCTTATGTATAATTTAGTTGTTAAAGATGAATGTGTTGTGCTTCTGAATGCTGTGGAAGTGTGAAAAATCTAGCTGAATTCTGATAGAGTTTTTTATTATCTTTTAAAAATTTTCTTACTTACAGAATTGTTGCATATAATTTACTTCTTCCTGTTTGCTATGGGACAAGAACATCCCTCTTTGGGGAAATAATAGTGCATCCTATTGTTTAGACATCACTGAAACCCATAAACAGGCAGACCAGTATGTGGTACTCCCTTGGGAAAACATTACTCAAGGAAGAAACTCACAAAGGCCTGAAACCTGGTTTGAGACCTCTAGGGCAGGAATTCTGGGATCGAAGTGCCCAGACCCCAGAAGAGGGGCTTAGACTACTGTCCCTTTGATCCCACTGAATCTGTGGGGACAGATCTAACCTAAAGCAGTTCCAAGCTCTGTCCTCTAAAGCCTAGAGCAAGGGTGCAGGTTATTGCTTAGGAATGTGTTAAAGGAATTAGTATGTAATATCAGCAGTGTTTTTTGATATTAGCCTGTTTATTTTTTGTTTCATGACTGTACTATACTTTTATTTAGCTTATATTTAATGGATGATTCAAGAATGTCATGAGCATCTTATTTAATTCAGTAACTCTGAGATTAAAGTAAGTCTTGTGATTAAAAACGTTAAGTGATTTTAAAAAGTCTTAGATTAAATTTGGTCTTGTCAGAAGACATTGTATTACGAGCTTTTCCTCTAACTCTGAGCTTTGTCCTTATGTCTTAATCTTTTAGATCGACTTCAGCTCCCCAGGAATATGATTGAAAACAGCATGTTTGAGGAAGAACCAGATGTGGTGGATTTAGCCAAAGAGCCTTGTTTACATCCCCTTGAACCTGATGAGGTGGAATATGAGCCCCGGGGCTCACGACTGCTGGTGCGAGGTCTTGGTGAACACGAAATGGATGAGGATGAAGAGGATTATGAGTCGTCTGCAAAGCTGCTGGGCATGTCCTTCATGAACAGGAGCTCGGGCCTTCGCAACAGTGCAGCTGGCTACAGGCAGGCTGCAGATGGGGCTTGTTCAATACCCTCTGCCAGGACCTTGGTGGTCTGTGCTTTTGTCGTTGTGGTTGCGGTCTCTGTGATCATGGTGATTTACCTGCTGCCTAGATGTACCTTTACCAAAGAAGGCTGTCATAAAAAAAACCAATCAATGGGACTAATCCAGCCAGTTGCGACTAACGGAAAATTGTTTCCATGGGCACAAATTAGGCTCCCCATTGCCGTTATGCCACAGCGTTACGAACTTAACCTGCACCCAAACCTAACCTCAATGACACTCAAGGCTTCTGTGACAATTTCACTTACGGCTTTTCAAGCCACATGGAATATCATTCTTCATAGCACAGGGCAAAATATTTCAAGAGTGACTTTTATGTCAGCAGTTTCAAGCCAAGAAAGACAAGTTGAAATTCTAGAGTACCCATATCATGAACAAATCGCCATCATTGCCCCTGAAGCCCTTCGAGTAGGACACAATTATACCTTGAAGATAGAGTATTCGGCAAATATATCTAGTTCTTACTATGGGTTTTATGGCGTCACCTACAAAAATGCAAATAATGAGAAAAAGTATGTGGATTTCTTAAGTGATTCTCATTCTGTACTCTGTGATGACTTCTAGAATATGAATCCTTTTGCCCACACCAGAAACATTAAATACAACTTTTTTTTCCAATTTAAAAAGTTATGTGCAAAATAGAAGGGTTGTTTGGAAGAATATACTATTTCTGTTAGGGAAAACTTTGATCATATATCCTGCAAGGGAGTATGGGTATTCTGGTGGAAGGGGATAGATCAAGATTATATCAGTTATGTGCTCTGTCACAAAAACTCAAGTTATCTTGAGCTTTTCATATTTTATGAGATTAATTTTCTGTCCCTTTATGATGTCTCTATGGAATGTTAAGTAAGGTGTATGGATTATTCTTAAGACCTACTTGCCTAATGTGCGGAATTTTTAGGTGGTGCTTAGTGAGATAGAGCGTGCATGAAGTGTGGTATGCTCACATATATCATTTTTAGTATCCTTAATCTTGACTCGTTTGCTTTAAAAAAAATGCCAGTCTGACTATTGAATTTCACATGGAAACTTTTAAAATGTCTAGGAGAAAATTTGTCTCAAAAAACAAAATACTGAGATAAAACATAAAAGCATTCAGGTTCATATTTGGACCATATATTTTGTACTTTAATCTTAGTATTCATAGCATGTAGCTGGAATTTCTAGAAAGATGAACTGCACACTTCTTATGGGTTGTTTGTAAATAGGGGATAATGTCAATTCTCTTATTTGTTCAAAATCTTTTTACATCTGCTTTATGCAGTTGGAGCATTCTCTCATAATACTAGTATTATGTATTAGTAAAGTAGTATGTATGAGTAAACTAGTATGTGAATTATTGACACTGGTCATTTGGCTAATGTATGTTGGTATTTTAAGAGAAACAGAGAACTGGGGATGTGGTTCAAGTGGTAGAGCACTTGCCTAGCAAGTGCAAGGCCCTGAGTTCAGTTTCCAGTGCTGTTAAGAGAGAGAGAGATGAGAGAGAGAGGGGAGAGAGAGAGAGAGAGAGAGAGAGAGTGAGAGAGAGAGTGTGTGTTAGAAATGAGTATCTTAAATTTTTTTTTTATTCATATGTGCATACAATGTTTGGGTCATTTCTCCCCCGAGTATCTTAAATCTATCTTAAGGAAACTGCTCTTTCTTAAATGGGGAAAGAGACAAAGCAAAATCTGTAGTTGTATTTGGCTAAGTAGGTTTTGTTGTTTTTTTCATTGTACCAAAGTTTTTATTTTAAATTCATTGAAAGAAATAAATTGTATTTTAAAAAAATAGAGTAATCTCACAAATAAAAGCCAGGAATAAAAAGAACAAGTTAATGCCTTTTTCTGAGAGGCAAATCTAATTAGCTATAGGATGGACTTTGTCTCTCCTAGCTTTTGTCAAATAAAAATTTTTTTTTCCTATTTTTAAAGCATTAAAAAGCACTTTTAGAGCTAAATGGGTTGTTTGGTTACAAAGTTTTAGCCTTCTAATGGGGATTTAAAAACATCAAAAGCAGCTACAATTTCCTCTCTTTTAGTATCAAATTATATATACTTCTATTTTTTACATAAATTTGAAAGTTTTATAATCATGACCAGAACTTGAGAAATTTGGTCATATTTTAGTAGAATCTTACTACTTCTGTAAGAGTGTCTAGATATGTAGTTTTTATTTTTTCCTTTTATATTGGCATGCTTTCTCTATATTTCAGTTCTTTTATGATATCTGAAATTGAAAACGTTTGTGATTGCAATGAAAGTCTGGGAGTTTTTAACTGTAGTCCACTTTTCTGTAATCTCCACCATCCCTAGGAAATATAGGATATACAGAAAAACAATGACTAGTATGCAAACTGGTCTTTAAGCTCAGTTGCCATCTGGCCCGATGAGATTATTGCCTCTGAGTCCTTGGACCTGTTACCATGTAATGGAAAGAATAAATGTTATATTGCAGAGTAAGGTGACTTTTGCTATGGCCACTTTTGCTGTGGGCTGCTTGAGTTGTATAACATGCTAAAAAATAGAATATTGTTCCTTGAAGTTCAGAAATAGAGTATTTAAAATGACATTTTAAAATCTTAAGTTGTTTTCTGAAACTGTTGTTACAAGCAAAATATAAGTTCATTAACCTACCCTTTAGAATAAAATAAAGGCCCCCACATGATTGAAAACCTAGATCGAAGGTAAAAGTTTAGGAGATCATTTATACCTCTTCGGATGTCTGAAAACTAATTCTAAGCAATATTTTTTGTCTTTGTCTGACTTTCAATTTGCTTAGTTCCATTGGAAAAGTTCTCATACTGTTCCTCCCTGAGGTATAATGACAGTAAATATTTAACCTCGTAGACAAAGTGATTAGAGAACACATTCCTTACCAATTGGAAAGTCAGAGTTTATGTAAATGTCAAGTACTTCACATAGACACTGCTGCGGTAAGGAAACTTTACCCATTTTCTCTAGTACTGCCAGTCTGTTTCTTTGCTTATTCTTTTTCTCTACTTATCTCCATAAGTACAGACAGCCACACTAGCCTTTGCTTTACAATCCTTCCTCAGTTCTCTATTTTTAACATCATTTAGTTCAAGACTTTTCATTATCTGGTCCTCATTCTTTCTCACAGCCATTACCTGCCACATTGAACTCTGTATACATTTTCCTAAAATCTGAGGTTAATCATAGCCTATATTTGCTAGAAACTGCTTGAAGCATATTATCTTTAGTCCTTAATCTTGTCAAACTAAGAAATAGATATTAATATTACATCCATTTTAAAGCTGAAGGAAAAGAAACGTGAAGTAACTCATTTGAGCTGGGTGCCATTGGCACCTGTAATCCTAGCTACTCAAGAAGCAGATTGAAAAGAGGATTGCTGTTAGAAGCCTGCCCAGGCAAATAGTCCATAAGACCCTATCTCGAAAAAAAAAAAGCATTACAGAAACGGGCTGGTGGAGTGGCTCAAGGTGTAGGCTCTGAGTTCAAACCCTAGTACCTCAAAAAATAAAATAAAAATAAAAAATCTCATTCGCTATAGCTGGCAGATAGCAGAGAGGGAGCTCAAACCCAAGGTCCTTTTAACTACGGAGGAGGTCATGTGCTTGCCCACTATGATGTGCTCTTTGCCAAGTTCACGTCACTTTTCCTTTGTTCATTGTTACTGCCAGTGTTTATTCTCTTACCTGACCCCAGACAGTTCATAATTATTTTGAGCACTGCTTGTGGAAGGGTGGCAACTAGTATTTTTGAAAGTAGATATTGTTGCCAATGAAAGAATAAGTGTCAAGTATTCAGCCTAGATGAGACAGGTTGTTAAGTATGATCATGAAGCAGTCTTCTCAGACTTTTATGTGAGATATTTATTATCCCATCTCTTTTAATAGCAATTTAAGGTTTTATATGTTATAATTTTTCTGTAAGTAGGGTCTCTTCTAAAAGGGACATTATCAAACTTCTTCCCTTGGTCAGCTAACTAGGTAAGAATATTGGAAATGGGGTGAAGAAATGGAATGTTAGAAGCATGTATGTTTGAATGTTTCCTATGTGTAGATTGCTACCTTTTCTTGCAGTTTACTGAATAGAAACTTTATTTGGGCATGTCTTCACCAGGAAAATAAAGTACAAGAATTTTAGGTATAGAAGAAGAGTTGTGGCTATCTATCATTTGCAATAAAATCTATATAGGCCATCCTCATCGTATACAAGTAGTTTTTATTATGAATTGTCTTATTAACAGGAATCCTGGATTTGGATAGGGGATCCTATCCAATCATAATATAAAAAATAAGGAAGATATAGGTCACTGATTTGCCTAATGTCACATGTCTGGTAAATTGCAGAGTTTGGGTCTTTAGACTCCAATTCCCATACTGTCTCATTTCTACCTATTTTCTAACTGTGAAAACTAAGCTCTAATAAGAAAGAAGGCTGCTACATCCAAAGTGGTAGTTTTGATGAGTGTGTGTATGTATACACACACATGCTCCACATTGCCTGGTACCCAGAATATGTACAAGAGGGTCCCACTTGCCCTGACTGCTTTATGGTCATATTTAGATGGTCTCTCAGATAGAGCTCTTTTTTATTCCTCTACTTGATCAAAAATTTGAAATTCCCCCTTGTTTCTCTTAATACTTTTCTTCCTAGCTGTAACTGAGAACCTTTATTTGTGTTTTAATTGCAACTGTTGTTGCTGTGTTATGGGAGAAGCAGGTAATTTTTATTTGTCTCTGAGGAAAGGAAAGGAGAGTAGAGTACTATTGGATGCCTCAATTTTTTTAGTCTTCATGAAAGTGCAAGTTGTGAACTTGAGGTTTAGTATTTTGAAACCAGAGTCTGTACAGGTGATTTGTGGCAATTAACGACAACCCTTCTTAGTAATCTTCCATTAGAAACCTATTTAAGACATCAAAGGCCCCCTGTAGCCTTTGTGGCTTCAAATGCAACCACTCTCAATAGCTAACCCCAGTTCCTGGACATATACTGCCCTCTTTCCTTGTGCTGCTTACTCTTCCTTGAGTATACGCTCTTTCCTTCTTAGTCTTTCAAACACTCCTTAGATTTTAAAGCCCTCTGTAGTCTTTGTATCAGTTTCCTTTCTGTCTTCAGCCTCTAGTTGGAATTTGTTTCCCTTTCTTCCCACACTGCTTTGTTTTCACCGGTAGGATGTGATTTGCACCCTGACATGTTTCTGTCCACTGTCTCGACTTCTGTCTCTCCCAGTTGATTGTGGGTCCCTTAATGACTGGGATTGTACCATATGTATCTTGATACCCCTAGTACTTGGCAGGGTGCCTTGAATGGTAGGTGGTCAATAACTATTGGATTGAATTTGGATTTGTTTTAGGTACTTTGCAGCAACTCAGTTTGAGCCCCTGGCAGCAAGATCTGCTTTTCCTTGTTTTGATGAACCAGCATTTAAGGCCACATTTGTCATCAGGATCATAAGGGAAGAACAATACACTGCTTTATCGAATATGCCTAAGGTACTGTTTTGTTCCTTGGAGGTAAAGTCTTTGAATGGGTCTCTTTCTTTAAGAACACATGAATTCCTTCTTGCCAGGTGATTACTGGGAATAACTAGAATCATATACATACATATTATTTCTTAAAATGCTTAAATAAACATTTGGATCAATTGGGAAATCAACCTAAGGAGCATGTGAGAAAAGAGAAGACCTGCCAGACTTGGAATGTATGGGTAGGAAGTGTAAAGTGTATCCTATGTACTAATGTGTAAATACTAATACTGTGAACTAAGATCAGAGTGATATTTTCTTAAACAACATAGTTGGTTTGCTATTCTAAACAATGTTATTTGATAGTGTTGAATCAGTTATTCTTTGTATATAACTAGTAAATGACAAATTTGTTGTAAGTGGAGATTGAGAACAAGAACAGGAGCCTCGTTTATTGTTAAATTTTAAGTCTGCATGGGAGACAGTAAGGATGAAACCAAGCAGAGTAGCTTTTATGCTAAACACAACCTAGGGTTCCTTTTATTGTCTCAGATCTCTGAGTGGCTATATGTAGCCTGACGGGAGCCTCCTAAATTCTTGTGGCTAGGGGAGAGGAGTAACCATATCCAACAGGCCATGGAGTCAACCCTGGTAGGTGTCAGGTATTACAACATGTCCTTAACTAAGACAGCTCTGCAACAGCTCCATGTCTAGCTATACTCTTCACTTTCATTGTTCTCTGAAAGAGGTAGATGCCTGCTTAATTCATGGTTGGAAAATTTTGCCAGTTGCCAGCATTTCTTGATCTTGTGTCTGCTGCAGACTTCCTTGATGGTTTACCACCTTTGATCCCACTAAGTTTTCTTGGAAGTCCTCAACATGATGCTCTATGAAGCACTTTCAGACCATTTGGAGGGATAGCCCAGTGTAGCTCCTTCTTCTTAACATAGAGCCTTCCTAAGTCATGGGAAGTTTTGGTTTTCGTGGAATTTTGAGGGGAAGAAACAGAACCACTGTTACTTACTATCTCTGACATAGATTTATTTGAGGCCACTTCGGCCAAAAATTCATATTCAGTATGTCCTCATGATGAAAGATGGCAGAACAAACTGATCATGCTGTCTCCAGAAACTCATGTTGACAGACTAAAATATGCGACTTATTTCTTATCTGAACTTGTAGTTTCTCATTGCAGTTGCCATTGTCATTTATTCCTGCAGTTGCAAAACTGTGGTCTTTTCTCTGTGCCTTTAGAAGTCGTCAGTCCATATGGAAGATGGACTTGTTCAGGACGAGTTTTCTGAGAGTGTGAAGATGAGTACTTACCTGGTTGCATTCATTGTGGGAGAGATGAAGAACCTGAGTCAGGATGTAAATGGAACCCTGGTATGTTGCTGTGGTATTTGTCTGAAAGCCTATTTCTCGGGAGGCTAAGAGTAATTTTTGCTTTAATGATTCCTGGTGGTTAGCTTATGCAGAAAAACAAGCTTTTAGATCTTATTATTGTTATTTATTGTTACTCATTTAATTCCTGAAAGTCAGTAACTTTGAAGTTACTAAAGAAGAGAATGTTTTTTTTTAATTTTATTATTCATATGTGCATACAAGGCTTGGGTCATTTCTCCCCCCTGCCCCCACCCCCTCCCTTACCACCCACTCCACCCCCTCCCTCTCCCCCCCACCCCCTCAATACCCAGCAGAAACTATTTTGCCCTTATTTCTAATTTTGTTGTAGAGAGAGTATAAGCTATAATAGGAAGGAACAAGGGTTTTTGCTGGTTGAGATAAGGATAGCTATACAGGGCATTGACTCACATTGATTTCCTGTGTGTGTGTGTTACCTTCTAGGTTAATTCTTTTTGATCTAACCTTTTCTCTAGTTCCTGGTCCCCTTTTTCTATTGGCCTCAGTTGCTTTTAAGGTATCTGCTTTAGTTTCTCTGTGTTAAGGGCAACAAATGCTAGCTAGTTTTTTAGGTGTCTTACCTATCCTCACCCCTCCCTTGTGTGCTAAAGCTTTTATCATGTGCTCAAAGTCCAATCCCATTGTTGTGTTTGCCCTTGATCTAATGTCCACATATGAGGGAGAACATACGATTTTTGCTCTTTTGGGCCAGGCTAACCTCACGCAGAATGATGTTCTCCAATTCCATCCATTTACCAGCGAATGATAACATTTCATTCTTCTTCATGGCTGCATAAAATTCCATTGTGTATAGATACCACATTTTCTTAATCCATTCGTCAGTGGTGGGGCATCTTGGCTGTTTCCATAACTTGGCTATTGTGAATAGTGCTGCAATAAACATGGGTGTGCAGGTGCCTCTGGAGTAACCTGTGTCACAGTCTTTTGGGTATATTCCCAAGAGTGGTATTGCTGGATCAAATGGTAGATCGACGTCTAGCTTTTTAAGTAGCCTCCAAATTTTTTTCCAAAGTGGTTGTACTAGTTTACATTCCCACCAGCAGTGTAAGAGGGTTCCTTTTTCCCCGCATCCTCGCCAACACCTGTTGTTGGTGGTGTTGCTGATGATGGCTATTCTAACAGGGGTGAGGTGGAATCTTAGCATGGTTTTAATTTGCAAAACTAAAAAGCTTCTGTTCATCAAAAGAAATGGTCTCTAAACTGAAGAGAACACCCACAGAGTGGGAGAAAATATTTGCCAGCTATACATCAGACAAAGGACTGATAACCAGAATTTATAGGGAACTTAAAAACTAAATTCTCCCAAAACTAATGAACCAATAAAGAAATAGGCAAGTGAACTAAACAGAACTTTCTCAAAAGAAGAAATTCAAATGGCCAAAAAAACACATGAAAAAATGCTCACCATCTCTAGCAATAAAAGAAGAGAATTTTAGTAAGAATATATGTACACTAAAAGTTTCTAGAACTACTGTACAATATGATGGTCACTACTTTATATAACTATTTAGATTTAAATTACTTAAAAGTAAATAAAATTTAAAATTCACTTCCTCAGTCTCACTAGCTACATTTTAAGTATTTGAGTAATGTTCATATGACCAATGGCTACCATATTGTGTACATTGTAAAAATTAGATGAATCTTCCCTTTTGAAAACCAAGTAACAGGACTGGGGTGTAGTTCAGTGCTATAGTCTGTGTTTACCATGAGGTGAGACCCTGGATTTAATCCCCAGCACTAAGGAGGAAAAAAAAGTAAGTAGTGATTAAGTTATTCATAGAGAGTGAATGAGATTGTTTAACTTAAGGGTCTGGCTTATCTACACTTTGCCAAAATTGATTATTTGTTCTAATGTCTTTTCTGTTGTTCTTATTATCTATCTGTAAATGATTATTTGATTGGATTTTTTTTCCAATCCTGGGGGTTAAACTCAGGGCCTCAAGTATGACAGGCAAGCACTCCACCACTAAGCCATATCTCCAGCCCTTTTGATCAAAGTTTTAATCCTTAATTTCATAGTAGAAATTTAATAAGGCTAACCTTTTCACATACAGATGATATAGAGGAGAAAAGACTCTCAGTCTTCCTTTGTCCTTCCCTGCTTCCCTTCCTCTGTCCATCTCTCTCTCTCTTTCATCTATTATATTGGTTTCTTACTGCTTATAAGATTATATTAAAACATACCCTGATATTCAAAGCCTTTCTTACTAATTCATCTATATTTCCATTGCTTTCATCTAGCCATGCTGAATTATTTATTATTCACATACATACCTCATTCTCATGCATTCGTCATTCTCATGTATTTGTGGGGTGTGTGTGTGTGTGTGTGTGTGTGTGTGTGTGTAGAGAGGTTGATAGAGTTTTATGTGAATTTTTTCACATACTTGTTTAGGAAGAAGCATGGCTAAACATGGATCTTGGAGTCTTTCTGAGTTGGAATTCCTCTTATACTAATTACTAGCTATCTGAGCCATTGGGAAGACCTCATTCTAATCCCTTCTAAACCTCAGCCTCCATTACTATAATATTGTACACACACATAGAACACCTACATGCACATACATATTGTATGTACATACACATGTATAGAATACTCACTCTCTTTTTTTCTATATATAAATATCTTTCAAAACCTTTGCATATCAAAGAATATAAATAATTGCATTTTTAGTGGTAGACAGTAAAAATTAACCTTATACAATAAACAATAGGAAATGGGGAGGAGTGTAACATACATGGATTTATGCTTTGTGCTAGCAACTTCCCTAGGCATGCCTTTTTTTAAATTTAATTTTATCTTTATTAAAATATTATTGTTGTACTAGGGGTACATTGTGGCCTTTACAAAATTCCTAGGCACTCCTTTATGGATACTTTTTGTCTTTATAAACTGAAGGAGGCAAGTATCAGCCCCATGTTGCTAATGAAGAATGTCTCAGAGAGTTAGATGATTGACCAAAGATTATAGTCAGTAAGAAATAGCCAAAGTTTACTGCCCACCACAATATGCTACTGCTTATACCAAATGACATAAATAACTTCTGTAGGTATGGTGGCTGGAAATTCAAAACTTAGAGTATAACAAAGGATTTTTGTTATGCTAAAATATTATAATCTCTAGTATGGCTTCTATTTTATAATGTTAGACAGTAGCTTGACTTAACGAGAGTCAAGAACAAGGCAATAGGGTTTTGCTGATTGATGTGATTCTTAGCAAGGAATTAAAAATGTCAGTTGACTGTAGATTATTGCATGTGTCCTGTTCAGTAATAAAGACTGCTTCAATGTCAGGGCCTTAAAGAAAGAAAAACATTTATTTTTTTATTTCTGTTCATTCTTTAGTTCTTAAACTTCTTCCTGTCTTTTAGGACCATCAGAATTATATGGAAAATTAGAGGCCAACTGCCTTATTTATTAGTTTGTCTTGAGGTTTGGATTTTTCTTTTTTTTGCCGAATTGCTTTCATTTTTTTCATGGACTGGACTGATTGGTAAAAATCATAATTTAATTATAGTCAGATATGGACATCTCATCCTACATTCAACATTTAAAACCATCAGTGTTATCTGCGTAGTTGTAATTTTGATCTTTAGTCAGGAATATAATTTTGTTCATAATTTCCATTAAAAACACTTCTACTTCAAGAATCTTTCTTTCATCCAGGGACATTGTACACAGTTAACATTATTCTTCTATAGTACTATCTAATCAGTTATTGTGAATAAGTGTGATACTTTTTCTTTGTTTTAGGAATTTATGTTTTTTTGTATGCTTAGTTCTGTTTAGGAATACCAGTATTTTTTCAGAAAATTTAGTTGAAACTAAATATTGAGACTTCAAATATTTTTGTCATTATAGATTTTACAAGCCATATTGTTACTTTTTTTGTGTGTGTAATAGAGCTTGGTTCTGTCTTTGCTTTCGTTAACTGGTTTTTTGTTTTTAGTAATTTAAGGATCAGATAAGCCAAACCCAACAAATCTGTTATTTCTGAATCTTTAAGGAGTCCTTTTCTCTGAGAGTTGACTAGAGATTTTTTTGGTTGTATTTTTAGAAATCTCCCATAAGATCCTTGCAAGAGTTCTAGCAAGAAGCTGTAAGTCTAAAGGCCAGAGTGCCAAGTGGGGGTGGGCATGCCTGTAATCTCAGCACTGGGAGACTGAGGCAGGAGGATCATCAGTTTGAGCCCAGCTTGGGCTCTATCTAAAAACCAAACCAAATAAGCAAAAACAGAACAGTGTTTTTGTTGAGGGTCAATCCAAGGCTTTAGACAAGCTAAGCACATGCTCTGCCTCTGAGCTACAACCCCAGCCTCCATTTAAAATGTTTAGAGTACTCCCACCAAGCTCAGAATGTAGTTCAAGACTTGCCTTGCCAAGACAGATTGTTGTCTACTTTTTATTGCTCCTCTTTTTCTTTGGATAAGCTTGACAGTAAGTATAATAACCAGATGATTTATCTGTAGTAAGAACTCATAGTACATGTTCTTTGAAGGAAAAGAAAAAGAAGTAGAAAATAAGAGAAAATGCTAAAGTACTTTTTTCCATAAACACTGTATTCCAGGAATAGGAATAGGTAGATCCTTTGCTCAAATTTCTGTTGTTTGTATATTTGTATCATATGTATTTACCTTATACATTTAGCCCAGAAAGAGAGATAGAATAGTTATTTAAGTAATGTGGGTGATTCCATCTGTTTTCTCCTTCAGCATGTGCCCTGGAGTGAATGGGCAATAGGAAACATGAGTCTGTCGTTCCCTTAGTTAATTTTAGTTACTGTGTCCCACTCATAGTGTGAGTGTTTTATTATATGATTTTTTTAATAGAACATGACCCATAAAAACAACCCAACAACTTAAATAAATAAGCTGTCCCAGCTCTGGAAGAAAACCAGGCTGGTCATACTCACTGAAAGATAGCATGTTGATCTCTAATCAGTTTTTCTACAATACAGTTTCAAGAAGTCTGCAATTTCTGCCTCATATGTTTTCTTAGAACAAAGTCCATTTTAAGATGTGATGCCTCTCTATAGTGCCTTCTAGATGACAGATGCTGTGATAGGTGCTGCAAGGACAAAATTTCAGTGTTATCCTTCAAATAACTCACCATTTTCATATCTCATAAGTAAATAAGGCCAAATGCAGGTAATGGCAGTGGAAGAATTATAAAATTAGATGGGAAGAGGCTTATACATTGCTATAAGATGACCCAAACTAGTTAATGTAGGGTTTTACAGCTTTGGAAAAACAAAAGTAATCAGTAAGGTTTCTTTTTTTGAACCTTGTTTTATGTATAGAAGGCAATTGCTAAACTTTCTGGGAAATGAAAGAACTGTAAGCAAAGTTTCTGTCTTGAAACTCATACAAATCCGTGCATTTCCCAAATATGCTGGTCCTGACAGAGCTTTCTTGAATATGATGCCATTTTAATGATTACTGTCTTTACATCATGTGTACTTTAGGTTTCTATATATGCTGTACCAGAAAAGATTGGTGAAGTTCACCATGCTTTGGAAACAACTGTGAAGCTTCTTGAGTTTTATCAAAACTACTTCGAAATTCAATACCCACTTAAGAAATTAGGTAAGAGTTAAGCAGTGCCTTTGATTTCTTTTGCGGTTATAACCAAATGAGATTTGTTTTTACAAATGTTTTGCAAAAGAGCTTTTGTCCCAAGTTATTTTAAAAGGAAATCAAGAAACTTTGTTAATGCTCTAAACATTGTTTGTAATTATTAGGATTTACTTAGATTCCATGGATGCCTCTGAATTTGGAGCTTAAAATACTTAGAAGTGTATAGGGCTATAACAAAGGTAAGTATGAGTTTGCCTAGGGTTTAATCTGGAGTTTGACTAACTCTAATGTCAAAGAAATTCCTGATTCAAGTAATAAAAACTGCATAATTGGAGCTTGGAAAGCAAGGGAATTTAAGTACTGTTCAATGTGAAGCCAGTCTTAGAGCAGTGTGGATTGACCCTCTACTTTGTTCTGCTTGCTTTAGGAAGTTGATTCAATGTGAAAGAATTACACTTTTTTTTCCCATTTTGCTAAGGGTCAGTAGGATAGTGACCCAAAAGGGTCTGATGAGGTCTTCCTCAGCTAAGAACTAGGCAAAGAACATACGGAGCTAGAATAAGGAGGAGTCTATTTGTTGAGGAGTAGAGAACTCACTGCCTTCACAGTGAGAGACTGATGGGTAAAATAATTTGATTCAGTGAGGGACTTCCTTAGACGAGAAGTTGAGTACTTCTTTCCCGTCATGCCCAGATTTGGTGGCCATTCCCGACTTTGAAGCAGGAGCAATGGAAAATTGGGGTTTGCTCACATTCCGAGAAGAGACACTTCTGTATGACAACAGTACTTCTTCAGTGGCAGATGGAAAACTGGTTACTAAAATCATCGCCCATGAGCTGGCCCATCAGGTATTAACAGCCAACATTGTGACATCTCATACATATGATCTACTTCATTCTAAAGTTTTAGAATACATTAACATGTTATACTGTTACTATTGAGCTCTCTTGTTTTTTTTTAGTATTGCTTTCTTTCATAATAAAAAGATGTTTTTAAGGCACACTTAATTTCTACATGAAAATACTGTTTGTATAGGGCTTTATAGTTTAAATCATTTTCACATGTATTATCTCACCTCATAACTGCTCTAAAATAGGTGTAATCCCATTTACAAGTATGGAAACTGAGACTAGGCTTAAGTAAATACCTTGCCTGAAGTCACATATCTATTTGGTGGCAGCACTGGGCCTTGAAGAATTATTCTTTTTTTCCCATTTTTCCCCTCCCACCCAATAATACACAATTGTTTCACCTCTGACAAATGCCAGCTGCTCTGTATAACTCTGTAGTAAACAATCCTTTTCCCTAAATTGTACTCTTTTCTGACAACTTTAGAACTTTTTTTGAGATACTCTTTTTTTTTTTTTTTTATGGGACTGGGTTTTGAACTCAGGGCTTCACGTTTGCAAAGCAGGCATTCTACCACATGAGCTACTCCTCCAGTCCATTTTGCTGTGGTTATTTTTGGAGGTTGGGGGGTGTCATGAACTTTTTGCCTAGACTGCCCTGGAACTGCAGTCCTGCCGATTTTAGCCTCTCAGGGAGTTATGTTTACAGGCATGAGACACCTTACTCTGCTTGAGACAGTATCTTGTTGTGTAGGCCAGGCTGGTCTTGGGCTACTGATGGTCCTGCCTCAGCAGTGCTGGGAGTGCTGGAATTTCAGGCTTGTACCACTACAGCTGGCACCTCTTAAACAGTAGTTGTCAGGACTAGATTTATTCTTTCATCTCTTGCTAGAACTGGATTCTCACTGTGGAAAAGAGAAGTCTTTAGTAAAAGGTAAGAGTATTCTTTGTATGACATGGAGAAAAAGAAAGAAAATTGTATGGGTATATAATATACCCCTTTCCCAACAGCAGTGGGTGTGTTTGGGATGCCAAACACAGTAGCAGTATAAGAAGGAAGGATAGAAAGTGCTTTGGTCAGTTCACTCTCTACATCAAACATAGTCTGTATAAGACTGTAGCTTTTGTGAGGACTTCTTGGCAAGCTGGCATATAAAGTGTTTATTTATTGTTATGAGTGAGCTGTAAAGATAAGTTGTCTTTTGTGGAATCTCCTCTACATTTGTTATTTCTGGGATTACCCATCACCACTTAGAGTGTCTCTCTTATTTTTTCTTTAGGACATACAAATCATCTTCCCATAAAACAGGTTCTAAGATAATATCTTAGAAAAATATGTTATTATAATTCTCAAAAAGTGTTTTGTTTTAGTATCTAGTAACCCATCTTTTGCTGCTGATTGAAGATTTTTGACATACATTTTTAAGTAAGAGTGTCCTTTTATCTTTTCCTTCTTTTTGCTACCTCATGTTTTTATTTATTTCTATATATGCAAACTTTCTTAAAGGATATTTTTGAATTCTGGTTGAATCATACAGTAGTGTTTTGAACTTAGGCAACTGAGGATAAACATAAAATATGGGCCCTTGACTATAGAAAAATCTCTCACATAGAAAGAACCTCTTTCAGTTGAAATACGTGGTTGTACATAGAATGGAAAATAATCTTACTAATTGGTATTAGAAAGTCAAAGAATTTAATTATCTGGGAAATTTCACTTCTATGAGGTAGCTAAATTTTTTCATTTCCTTCTAGAGCATGTTTTCTAAAAATCGATAAATACATTGATAGCCTTTCTTGCTTGCTTTCCCATTTAATTAAGGTAAAGTGTTAGTTTTTATTTTACTTCTAAAGTAAATTTAAACAACTTTTGTTATGTCTTTAATCAATTTGAATAGTTCATTTAACCTGTAATACCAGTATATTTTCTAAGATATTTTAAACTGGTTATAAATCTGTCAATTCATCCAGTTATTAGAAGTTTCACTATCATATTGATTAATAGTTTGTTTTCCCCACAGTGGTTTGGTAATCTGGTAACAATGCAGTGGTGGAATGATCTATGGTTAAATGAAGGTTTTGCTACTTTCATGGAGTATTTCTCTTTGGAAAAAATATTCAAAGAGCTCTTCAGTGTAAGTACAGTATTTCTTTGCCTTTATAGAAATGTAGGAAGAAAAAGAGTCAAGTCATACTGTATACTATAGTAAATATTTCTAGAAATACATATTTTCTAGAAAGCTATAGCAAAATTGGCCCTTGTTATGGACATCTAAACCTTTAAGATGTGACCATGAAAATTTTGCTTTTATTTATTTATGTATTTCATTGAATGCTAAAATTATGTGAGATTATAGTTTTTGTCATTAAGTTGAATATTTTAAATTGCCACATTTTATTTATAACAGATGTGGCCATTTTGTTTGAATGAATTTAGATAAGATTGAAAGCCTTTTTTGGCAAAACGAAATGTTTTTAACCTTGTATGTGAAAAGAAAAAAATTAAGACTGACCATTCCATTATAGAGAGGCATAATAATGTCACTGTGTTATTAGACTCTGGAAATATTTCTTGTATTTAGGGATCTTTGGGCACAATAGGTAATCATGTGATAGAAATTGTCAAAATTAATTTAAGCACTAGGTGGGAAAGTATAAATATCCCTTTCAACACTAAAATTCTGTGACATTCTATTAAACTTCTTGGAGACATGATCTAGTACTCTGAGATCTGTCAATTTGAAATTTCTGTGTAGGACTTATTTAAAAGTTTCAAGTAATAGGAATTAATTTGTAGCTAGAATACTAACCAAGGCATTCTAAATCTGTGTATTCTACTTAATTAGGCAGTGAGATACACAATTTCACCACTTGGTGGTGCCAGGAATGTTTAAAAACCTCTAATATATGTTCTAGGGGAGCTCATTGGCTAAGCTCTCGAATTCTTTCTGTTTAAAACTTATATCTTATTTGAAATAGACCTTAATTAAGAGAAATACATATTAATAGAAAAGCTAGACTATATAAGGAGTCAATTTAAGGACCAAGTTTCTTTCATTATTTTTTAACTTCAGATTTTATTTTTTAAAATATACTTTTTAGAATATTAATCTTGTATATCCAGATTTGACATTTGTTTTCTTTAGCAATAAATTTTTAATTCATCATTGTGATCTTGTTTTTGAAATGCTGATTTTCACATGGTTAGATAATAAGTGTGCTTTTTAAATTTCAGAAATACGTGTGAAAGGCATAGTCTATATATTTTCAAAAGTTAGTATTCTCAAGTTTAGTGATACTGGCTACTTTTCATATTTAGTTTATTGATTAGTGTAGTTCATATAAATAATTGCTGTGCTTTTATACTGTTCATGATATTCTCATTTTCATTTTTTGCTAGTATGAAGATTTCTTAGATGCTCGATTTAAAACCATGAAGAAAGATTCCTTGAACTCATCTCATCCAATATCATCGTCTGTTCAGTCTTCAGAACAAATTGAAGAAATGTTTGATTCTCTTTCTTATTTTAAGGTACTGCTATATACAAAAGAAAGTACCTCTAGTAGACCTCAAATTAATTTCATATGTGAGCAAACTGCATGATTTAGATTACTTTTAAAATTAAATTAGTATTACTATTAGGTATTCTACTGAACTTTATACTGTTTAAATTTTAAGCATTTAAATATGTTTAAATTATGTTCTTAACTTTTTTGTGACTTTTTCTTTCTCTGTCTCCCTTTTAAGTTCTATGACTGCTGTTCCAGACAGTTAACAAACTCTTACAGCAATTTATCTTTTAAACTTGGTTTACTCTATAGATCTGGAGGTAGAATATGTGCTGGGAAGGTCCTAAGCAAATCGTTAGCTGTATTTCTCAGAATTGAGAGGCATGTTCTAGGGAGCATGCCTGTGCTCCCAGCTACTTAGGAAGTAGACGTAGGATTGTGGTTCCAGTCCAGCCTCAGCAAAGTTGGTGTGAGACTCTATCTGAAAAACACTAAAAGCAAAAGAATTGGGAGTGTGGCTCATATGGTACTTGCCTAGCACTTATGAGGCTCTAAATTCAATCCCTAATACCACAAAAAAAAAAAAAAAAAGAAAGAAAGAAAAAGAAAAAGAATTGTGGTATGTTCTAAATTTAGGACTGCCAAAGCAAGAAAGCAAATAAGCAAAGAGATTTTTAAAAATTGAAGATTATTCTTTAAGAACAGAAACACAGATTCCAGGGTTTTGTTTTGTTTTTCTTCAGAAATGCAGAAAAAATGGAAAATTAGAAACTCAGGTAGAATCACCATAGGTTAGAGAACAAAGGAATGGAAATTCCTTTGTTCACATTTGTGTTGGGGGAGGGATGAATGTTATGACTTATTTGTCTCCTTATTCTATCAGATTAATTCATTAATAAATTCCTACATTGGAAACAGAAGAAAATATATAAAACATAAGGATGCAATTCATGTAATCAAAAGGCTCAAAATTAGGTGATGGGTACTTACAGAGCAGTATAAGAGGTATTATATGCTAAAGATTTACAAAGAATTTGTATGCTGAAAAGAAAATGGGAATTGAAATGAGTGAAATAATAAGAATATAGATAAAGGGCAGAATAGGAAAAACAGGGTAGGACAGGAATGAAACAATGTAGTCTACAAAGAAAAAGGAATACTGACAGGGAATGTTTGTTGAAACATGGAAACCACATGGTAATAGAGAAAGATGAGGAAGATAGGTTAGGGCTCAGTTGTGGAAGGTCCTAAATACCATAAGGAATCTGAATGTTTTTTCTGTAAGTGACGAGAAACTATAGAAAATTTTTTAACAGAGGGATAAGAGTGGTTTACTGTAGCTAGGCTGTACCAAAAATGTAGTAGTTTATGCTTAATATCTGCTTTTCTTTGGGTAATCTGTAAGTTTGGTTTGTGCTAGGCAAAAGCTTCCTCCATGACTAGCCTCCCCCCTTACCAAAACAAAAACATTAAAAAAAAACAAAACAAAAACATTCACATGTTACCACAACTTGCTGGAGGAAAGAGTGCATCCTGTCCATTGAGAGAGAACTCATGAAAGCTGTGAAAGCTGGTGCCTGCTTTCCTTTGGACTTCACCCCATGTGACCTTCCCTTAGATGATTTTACTTTGTATCCTTTTGCTGTAATAAATCATAGTTGTTGAGTATGACTATCACCTAAGTTTTGTGTAAATCCTCTTAGTGCATCATCAAACTAGGAACTGCTACTGGGGACTTCTATACAGCTTAAAAGATGAGAGATTGCTTTTCATGTTCAAGCACCGGCAAGAAGCATGTATTTGAAATAGGCTTAAGATTAAGTAGAACTGGGCATGCCTGTAATCCTAGTTATGAGGGATATGGAGTTAGGAGGGTCATGGTCCAAAGCCCTCCCAGACAAAAGAGAGATGCAATAAACTAAAGGCAAATGTGGCTCAAGTGAGAGCGCATTTGCCTAGTCCTGAGTTCAAACCCCGGTACCCATCCCCGACACACACAGAAAAGTAGTAGATGGGGTCAGACAGGTTAGAAGAGGTCAGATCATTATGAGGTCTAATAAGGACATTGAGTTTATTCTAAGTGAAATATGAAGTCATTTGATCAGGGAAGTATTAAAAAAGACCAATCTAGTCAACAGTAGCAAATAGAGTCAGAATGACTTGTTAGGAAGTTGTAACAGATAGACTTGGGTGGTGATAGTGAATCTATGACATACAGTTGTCATAGATTAGATGTACAGTGTAAGAGAAGAGCCAGCAGTAGCTTCAAGATTTTTGTCTGAATAACTAAAAAATGGAATGGTCATTTGCTAAAACAGAAAAGACTACTGAAGGAATAGAATTAGGGCAAGAGGAAAAGTTAAGTTTTTTAGTATGAGATATATATAAGACATACAAGTGGAGATACCAAGCAGGCAGTTTGAGATGAGTCTGGAATTTAGAGGGGAAATCTAGTTAGATATATAAATTCAGGAGTTTATATATCCCCTAGAGTTGAGATCAACTAGCGAGTAAATTTAAGAAGAGAAGAAAAGAGGTCCAAAGGTCAAAAAGTCCAAAGAACAAATACTTGGGCATACCAAAATTAAGTCATTGGGAAGAAAGATCTAGCAAAAGAGACTGAAGGGATCCCAGAGAACAGAGACAAAATCAAGAGTTATGTCCCAGCCTGACACAGTGCCTCATGTCTGTAGTCCCAGCTACTTGGGAGGTGGAGATAGGAGGATCATGGTTCAAGGCCAGCCTGGGCAAAAGTTAGTGATACATCATGTTAAGGAACAGGCTGGTTGTTATAGGGTATAACTAGCTAGTATACCCAGCTAGACAAGAGGCAAAAATAGCAGAATAGGAGACCCTATCTGAAGAAGAACTGAAGCTAAAAGGACTGGAGGTACAGCTGAAGTGGCAGATCATTTGCATAGCAAGCAATCAAATCAAATGCTGCAAATGCCTTGATAAGGCAAGCATGAGACCTAATACTGGTTTGGCACCAGAAGTTCACCAATGACCTTGATATAAGAGCACTGCCAGCGGAGTGATCGTTAGCAGATGATGCCAAAGAAAATGAACAAATACAGACAACTCTTTATCAGAGTTTTACTACAAGAGGTGGGGGATAGAAATAGGGTGATAACTGGAAGAGGCTTGAAGTTAAGAAAGGTTGAGAGTCTTTTATTTGTTTAACATTAGCAATGTTAAATAGTGTTCGTTTGGATAATGAGAATGTTATAGTACAGAGGGGAAAGTTGGTGATGTGTGAGAGAAGGAGACTATTGGGAATACGAATGAGTACTCAAATTTATAGAACAAATAACAGCTGCAAATATAGAAATAAGAGAGCAGTAGGTATGCAATGTATTTATGTGTGCTGATAATACTGATGATTTAACATTGCTACATTTTAATCACAAGTGAAATTAATTTAAAAACTGTTAATGCCTACTACTAGGTGTTGTAAGTAGAATAAATTGCTATTAGGTAGAGAAATATGATATTCTTTCAGATTAGGAAAGACTTCACAGAGGAGGCGGTTGTTTCCAGATTGGGAATGTGACATGGGCCTGAATGAATACAGTTTTGCCTTAGTAGTTGCATGCCTGGTTATGAATTTTTAGTGTATGCCTGCTATCCTGTACATTCATTTGTTTCAAAAGTATGTAAGATCACTATGCAGGAAGAAGTGAGGGCTTGGTTTCTTTAACAACATGGTACACTAAACTAGAAAGTGATGTGCTGGGCTGATGGTGGCTCAAGTGGTAAGAGAGCCTGTCTAGCAAGCATGAGGCCCTGAGTTCAAACCCCAGTGCACAAAGGAGAGACTTGTGGAAGCTCTGCTCATTTACTGTGTCTGAAGCACAGTATGCTCACAAATTCACCTAGTACTTTAAGCATTGAGGGTAGGGTTGGATGTCGTAGAAAATTTGGTATGTTTTCCTATAAAAATTTTATAAATAGTGGGCCCTTAATGACTAGTACAGAAGCAGTGGATATACTGATAGACCACATGGAATGGTTCATAGTAGAGTTAGTGCACATGGGATTCTAACTCTGTAAATTCTTTTTCAAATCCCTTAAAGTAATTTTATTTGGAAGTAATCCACATCTCCCTATGAGGCTAACAATGTATTATAACAGTGTTGTATGTATAAAAGTACACAATTTAGAATGATTGTATTTTGAATTTTAGATTCTCAATTCTATAACCTGTAATGTGTTATTTTCTTCCTTTTCCTCACTTTTTTTTGAAATAGGGAGCTTCTCTCTTGTTGATGCTGAAAACTTACCTTAGTGAAGATGTTTTTCAACATGCTGTTATTCTTTACCTACATAATCACAGCTATGCATCCATTCAAAGTGATGATCTGTGGGATAGTTTTAATGAGGTAAGTGATGGATAATTAAGTACTACCTTCTTACTCTAAAAGATCCTCTGTTTACCTGTGAATAAGTCTGTGGTACCAAGGATAGTTATTTAAGACAGAGGGAGACAGAGCTTGGTATATTAAATTCAGAATGCTGAATTTAAAATTGGGAAATGGGAGTGCTGTTCTTAAGTGTTGAACAAATATGTATGGTTTTGCATAGCCATCATTGTTCTGTACCTTAATCTGCATTCCTATTTTATTAGGAAAAGAAAGTTATATCTCTATATTAATGGATATTATTATATTTTTGATACTTGATTTTTTTTTCAAAGATCTCTTTTTTCTTGTTTTTCTGCTTCCTGTTCATGACTCTGTACTGTCTAAGAATCTCACTTCTTTGAAGTCTGGATTCTTCTACAGTAGATGATCTATCACAAGCTGATTCCATGTGCTCCATACTGCTCTGGGGTGGTTTTGGTATTTGGATTTTGTTATGCCTACAAATATTGTAACAGGCATTGTAATTAGGTAGAAGATGTGCTTCAAAGTAGTGCATGACCCAGCCTGTCTCATGCACATATGGTAACTACACAACCCTGACAAGCATTTGAATGTGTTACTCAGACCTAGATCAGTGGTTCATGTTCTGGAAGATCACAGATACATTTGAAAATTTGATTACAGTTCTAGCCATGTCCTCCAGAAAAAACACAAATGTGTATAACAACATACACAGTTTCAGAGTTTTATGGATGCAGGATTAAAAACCCTTGCTTTGGATCTTCCCCATATACTCTTTTCTGTTTGCTTTCATCATCTGAATCCTGGTGTTTTTGAGCCTCTAACCTTTCTCCCAGAAGATAAAGTTCCCTGCTCTCTGAATTCTCCTTGAGAAGAGGTCAGTTCTCATTACCTAACACTTGCTTTCAAATCATTGCGTTTTTTTCTCTCATTATACAGTACTATTTCAGTTGAAAGCTATGCTCTTTACCTTATACCCATTGTCTTAATCTCTTGATGTTTAGAACATGTTTCTGCTTTCCTCACTGACTGCACCTTTTGTATCATGGTGTTATCCCTTCCATCCTAGTCCCTAAAGTTATCATCAGTTTTTTCAGCATCCACACAAAATGTGCATTGGCTTTTTCATTTAGAAGGTCTGTGAACCTCTGATATTAGATTCTCTTTTGCAGACAAGTTCGGTTAGTTTTCTGGGAAATAAGATCTGTGAAAATCAAAAAGTTTACAGGTGTTCTCTAAAGAGACTTAATGTCAAGGGAACAAACTCTTCAGCTACTATTGCTGCTTTCTGGCACTCCCATGGGATTAGATCTTTAAGTTACTAACACTGATGACACAAAGGGTAGCAGAATAAAGAGAAACATTTGATTTGCAGGATTGAGTACCAATGCTTCCCATTCTAGAGCACATATCATTAGTCATGTCTCTTAAATGGTAGTATTGTGACTTGAAAGAGCACTTATACTTTCTTAGGAACTTTAATTTTAATGAATTCAGTGATTTTAACTTTAATGAACTCTTAGCTGTTTGATGTCATAGATGCTGCTTTTCAACATAGTGCCTCTTTCACGTTCTTAGGTAACACTCCAAGAGTGTGAGAGTTCTATTCCATGTTATTTTCCTTTTAGCATTTGTTCAGTTACCTTGATGACAAATGTAAACTCAACTCGGCATTCATGTTTCCTTTTTATATTATCATAAAATGTAGTCTTCATAGAATGTGCTAGAAAAGAGGGAAGGGTATAAATAAACTGTAAAACTTTAAAACATTTTTTTCTTTAAGCAAAAAGTAATTCTATTTTTAATAGGTCACAAACAAAACACTGGATGTAAAAAAATTGATGAAAACCTGGACCCTACAGAAAGGATTTCCTTTAGTGACTGTTCAAAGAAAAGGAATGGAGCTTTCTATACAACAAGAAAGATTCTTTTTAAATTTGAAACCTGATATTCAGCCTTCAGATGCAAGGTACTTATGCTCTTTCTTTCTGTACTGTCTCTTTTATACCCTCTTGTTGCAGTAGTTTTAAATGTCTTATATTCATAGCTTCTTATGGAACCTGAAAAGATTATCCCTCTCTGGGAATAGTTTGAAAAATTTCACCTTTCTGCCAGAAACCAAAAAATCCTGTACAACTAACTAAAATATTGGAAAAGAGAAATAACCTTTCAATATTTTCTTTTTACAGCTACTTATGGCATATTCCAATATCCTATGTCACTGATGGAAGAAATTATTCAAAATATCAATCAGTATCATTACTGGACAAGAAATCAGGTTTGACTATAATTAACACCTATCTGATAAAGAAGTGTAAAGAGCATAATGTTTAAAATCTGACCAAAGAGCAGATAAGAGAGTACACGTTGCCATGTGTACACTCTCTGAACTGTTTTTATAAATCCTATATCTAAGAAGTAACTTGATTGATTCTGTTTATGCGTGGAATTTACCTTTAGTTGCAAAAAAAAAAAAAGTTGTAGGGAAGGTGCAAGAAGTTCTGGTAGAAAATAGCAAATGTTTTATTTTTATGTCCTGGATAAATAGTTCATGTTATAAAATAAGTAATAGAAGTAGAGCAGATTCCTAAAGTGTTAACCTGCTGTCTACTTTCTATGACTGGTGCATTTTAACAAGTATCCTAGATGATTCATGTGTATAATGAAGGTTGATTTATGACCTAGATTTAGAGTAAATCCTTATCATATTATGTCCTGCATATTCATTTTGGCAATGAGGAAATGGGACAAGAAACTATCATAGCAAGAAGAGGGAGATAATAAGATGTGAAGGTGGTACAAGTTGAACATCACCATCTGAAAAACCTAAAATCTGAAACTTTGAGTTCCAACATAGCTCAAAACATTTCAGATTTTGGAACACTTCAAATTTTGAATTTGAGATGCTCATCCAGTAAAATCTGTGTAAATAGGACAAAGGCTGAAAAATCCCAAAATCTGAAATGCTTCTGATCCCAAGCATTTCAGATAAATATTCATCTGTGTATGCTGACCTACAAGCAGTCTATAAACAGCAATCAAAATGTAGTTTACAACCATCTGTTAAATACCACCATGATGTGCCACAGTGGTAGCCTCTTCATTTACATCCTGGAAGAACAGAAGGCTCTCGGTTCTGTAGAAATCATTAATGACATTTTAGATTTGTGAAAAAGGGAAAACTTCTTCTTTGAATATGGATCTGGTGTTAAACCTGTATTTTTCAGAGGTGAGTGCAGTTTTAAGAATGAAGTGGAGCCAAAGTGCCTAGTTCGTGTCTTGGTTCTATCATTTATCACCTGTGTGGTTGTAGGTGACTTAACTGACCTCTCTAAGCCTCATTGCCTCAACTATAAAATGGAGTTGGTAATTATACTTGCTTTATAGGATTGTGGTAAGAATTACATGAAGCATCTAAAATAATGCCTTGCATGTGTTATGTACTAATGTTCTTAATTGAACAAAACCTACATCTTAAAACATAGCATATCCATATTACATAAAATCTGGAAAATGAAGAACAAACCTTATTATCCTATCATAAATACCCTCTTATTATTTCTTTGCATTTTGAAATTATTTCTGTATACATTGAAATCATAATGTGCATATAATTTCTGTATCATGATTTTTAAAAATATATATATACTATAGTTGACTTAACCTTCCCTTATTGTTAGACACCTGATTCAACATTTGTCTTTATTTAAAAAAATTCCCCAATAAATATTACAGAATTTAAGTCTTTCCATTATCCAAACTTTTTATTATGCATACTCCTCAAGAATGAAGACTGTTATCTTTTGTGATCTGATACATGTGACTAAATAGCCCTTCTGCTGTGTGGTAACAGTGAACACTCCCACCTGAGATGTATGAATGGACAGTTTCATTAAAGCTTTATTGAACACTGCAGTGGAGTGTTACAGTAATAGCAGCAGCAATCTTATTATTTAAATTGAAAGAGCATTTGGTGGTGCCATCCTATCTTTGACAAACAGCATGGACAGAGGTTCAGGGAAGTTCTGCCTTCTCTGGTGGGACAAAAGTCTAAACTTTACTGGGGCTTTGGAAGGATATTCTGTGATCCAAGGGAAAAGAAATAACCTTGCCTCCTTATATCCAGTAGAATAGCTAAAACATGGCTGGAATACTTTGAGGGAGCCAATGCAGAAATTTTACAAATTTCTTAATAGTACTTAAATTTTTGCTGGTATTAGAAATAATTGGACAGTAAGAAATCTGCTTTTATCTGTTTACTGTTTCATTCATTTTATGTGTAAGCTTGTTAAACTCTTCTTGGGATTCATACTGCATAAACTAACTCAAATTTTCCTGCTTTAGCATTTTTTTCTCAATAAATGTTAACCATTGTTTTTTAAAATTTATTATTGTACCGGGGTTACAATGTGACATGTACAAAATTTCTTAACAATATATGATAGTTGAATTCATCCCCTCCATTGTTCTCCTTTATCCTCCTTCCCATTCCTGGAATAGTTTCAACAGGTCTCATTTTTTCATTTACATACATGAGTACATAGTTTTTCTACTATATTCATCCTCCTGTACCCTTTCTTATATCCTTCCCCTTCCCACTGATACCAGCCCCCCTAGACAAGACCTGTTTTACCTTCCTGTTCTCTGTTTTTGTAAAAAAAGAGAAATGATATTTTTGTTTGTTTAAGATAGTAATATAGATTGTTTCATTGTGACATTTCCATATACAAAGTAATTCATATAACCTTTGGTCCTTACCCTCAACAAGGGGCTATATTTAATATGGGACAGACATAAGTGAAGCAGTACTTATAGTATGTAGTGAGTGGATAAGTAGAGGGTATTTATTTAGAAACATAAGGAGAGCATGTATCTTGTCTTGGCATAATGGGGAAAGGTTTCCTGTGGTAGGCAAAGTTTTTTGTCACTGTGACAGAATACTTGAGAGAAACAGTTTAAAAGGAAGAAAGATTTGTTTTGTCTCATGGTTTCAGTTCATGGCCAACTAGCTCCATTGTTTTCAGGCCTGTGGCATGGCAGAAGGACATGACAGAGGAAAGAGCTGCTCACCTCATCACAGCCAGGAAGCAGAAAGCAAGAGAGATAGAAAGGAGGCAGGGCAAGACACACCCTTCAAAGAAATGCCTCCAGAACCTGCTTTCTCCAACCAGGCCCCATCTCCTAAAATAGCTCATTCCATATGTGCCCATCATTGGATTAATCCAGTGACGAAGTTAAATTTCTCATGATTCAATCACTTCTAAAGGATTGAGTCCACCAGCTGGAGACCAAGCCTTTAACAGATGAGCCCTTGAGGAGATACTTCATACAGAAATCATAACGGCTTTCTCTTTCTTTGTTCGTACCTGATGTTCTTTGCTTTTGCTGCATGAAAATTCTTTCAGTAACTCAGGCCATATTGCCTCTTGTCTCTGGGCCTTTGGATGTGCTGTTTTCTCCCCTTGAAGAATATCCTTGCCTCCTCACTCCCTCCTATGCATTCCTCAGATCTTAGATCAGCCAGTACTTGCTCCAGGAAGCCTTCCCTCTTCCCCAGTCAAGGTAGATGCCTTACATATGTTTTTAAATAACTTCTCTACTTTTCTCCTCACAATATACTATAAGTACTGTTTCATTTATGTCCCCATTCCCATATTAGATATAACCCCTGTTGAGGGTAGGGATCGTGGGTACATCAATCACATTTGTAAACTTGATATTCAGTAGATTCACAAAAAAATTATTGGGTGAATAAATGTTAGTCTGTAATGGAGTCACTCAATTTCAAATTTGACTATACAGAGTTCTGGAGGGGGAACATTCAAAGCCTGATGAATATATTATTTCCATTCATATGAAAAGATTATTAGTAAAAAGGAATATATAAAATACCTTATAATATAATTAATCTAGAGCTGGTGCTGGACCAATATATGATAAAAACCAGTATCTGTTACTTACTTCCCTTGCTGCTGCTTTAATTTCTGCCAGTTTAGGTTTTGAGAATTGAAATATAACATTGCAAATGTTATGTTCCTCAAAAGAGTGGCCCTAAAGGCAGTTGAATTTTTTTGGTGCCTAACACTCTAATAATTACTCTTACTTTAATTGCATTTTCATCTTTTCTGTTCCTCAGATGTATTAGTGAGGGTGACTTAAGGCTTATTTTATGTCATACAAGTTTGCTACAGTATATTGTCATAGTGGTTTCTTAAATCAGTACTGTATTTTCATTTGTTCCAAGGTTTCTGGGTTAGACCATTAGTTCTATCATATGTAATAATTATATAGGGTCAATGTCTTTGCTACCTTCCCTATATTCAAGAAATTTGAACAAGTATTTGTTGTGCATCAGAGCTAAAAAGGTGCCATCTTCAAGGCTACATATTGAGGAAGTTACACTTAAAAGTGTTTCTTCTTTCTTCCTACCTCTCTGTGTTATCCACATCTTACTCAAACCTAAGCTCTTTAGCTATTTATTTTAACTCTAACTGGAAAAATTCATGTTTCTGAAAAACATGTTGGTGTATCAAAAATATTTTGGAAACTAAAAGACATATCATTGAGGGAAAGACAATTGAGAGAAAAGAAAAAAGAGGATATAATTAAAGTATTCATTATGTGCTATTCTCTATTCTTGTTTTCTTCCCTAATAAAATAAAGTAGAAAGGAAATGATACTTGAGATGGGAGTGCTATTTAACTAGGTGGATGCAGTTCAACTGTGTGTATCATGCTAATTGTCTGGAACAAACTGTACATCGTATTTCATAACTTTGTAGTTAAAAACATGTTTCTTCGTTTTAACACCTTAGTGTTTCTTTGTAAAAACAGTAGTTAATTTTCATAGCTCATTGACAAATTTTTTTTAAATCACAGATTACCTCATTTGGGTTTCTGCCATTTAAGATTGGTGTTGCTCCTTCTTTTTTACTACTCAGTGGACTGTGAAAATTGAACTGTTAATCTGTTAATGATTATAACAAATTAAAAGCATGTGAGGGTAACCTCACCCACATTCAAGCTGCAGAATGTAGTTACCTCTCTTGTGTGCTAATCTATTATTTTTTGATACCTGTGGTTTTAAGGTCTCCCATTCTAGATCTTTCAGAAGAGCTGAAGGGGACTACTATGTTCATTCTTTATAATTATATAAAGCGCCTGCCTAGCAAACAAGCACAAGAATCCTTCCAAGGTCAACCCCCAGTACCACAAAACAAACAAACAAAAAACTATCCTCCCTTTCTGCTGTTGGCTGCATTGCTTAATGTTCCATCAACTTGATGACAGTAATAATTTCAAATATACTCCCAGCTGCATTCCTCCTCTCTACCATCTGGATTTTGCTAGCTTTACAGCATGGCAAGTTGCTTATCAGCCAAGATGCTCACTATTTCAGTTTTTTTGTGTGAACACTTGCTATACTTATTCTCTATCTCATTTTGGGGGCAGTGGGAATTTGGGGCTCTGAAGCCCCAAAGACCTTTTCTTGAAAAAAGCTCTATAGGAAATTGTGTTTGGTAACCTGGAGAGTACTGGTACTTTTTGGATTAGCTAATGATAAAGTTAATTTCATTAGTCCTAAGTTTGTTAAAAATGGTTTCAACTTGCAGCAGTTACTGTTGCCATCACAAATATTACTTAGAATTGCATTCTGCCCTAGAAAAAGGAATAAACCTATTTAATCTAATTGATCTTTCCCATCTGTTGCTATGTCAGCAATACAACAGAAATTGCTATGGAATTTTTTATAAAACAACTTAACTGATATGTCCTATTAAGACATGATCAGAATGTCTTTTCCATCTTAAACAACTTTTTTAGAATGAGTAGAACTGGAATAAGAAATTACTGATACATTTCAGTAATTCATGCTTTTGAAAACAGCTTCAGGTACTGATTTCTAAAGCATTTTATGTCTGAATAATTTCATTACAGAATTATTATGATGGTGAAAATTTTTAAAGTCTAAATGTTTCAAAATAGGAGATTTGCTAAACTGTATTAGGTCTTAGAATGTAAAAAGTATTTGAACACTGTATGAAGACTATGAAAAAATGGTAGGTGAAAAAAACAGGATAACAATAAGTGAATTCATTTTCCAAACATATGGAATATTATATTAATTAAAGTGTATATAGTAAAAAAGCTTGACAGGAATTATATTCCAAAATCCTATCATTGAACTTGGATTATTTTTCTGATCTTTACTCTTCCTCTTTTAATTTAAAAAAAATTAAAAAGTATTCACTATTTTAAAATGGGAGGAGAACGAATATGGTAGAAATATTATGTACTTATATGTGAAAATGGAACAGTGACACCTGTTGAAACCTTAAGGTCCCTACTAAACTTTTTTGATCTGGGTAATACCAGAAGTATATCCTGAAGTCACTTAGAAAGAAGAATGACATTTTAGATGTCACTTCTGAGATACATCACCTTCTCTCTGGGTTGAAACATTTCTTCTGTCTGCTTCCACTGAATATCTTATTTTTTATTTCCATTGATGGCACTCATATGATATTGTACTTACCTAGTAACGTTAGACTGTGAAAGCAGAGATTTAACTAGCCTATTCACCATGTGCTCTCCAGTGGTAGGGTAAAGGCAATAATGCATGATAAATAATTCTTACTGAACGAGTGGCAATCACTGTTGACATGAAAATAGCTGCACCACAATGCAGGTATTTAATGGAGGAGGATAAACCAGTTTGGGATATAATACATATATACATGGAAATGTCATAATGAAACTCCTTGTATAGCCATCTTAAACAAACAAATGTGTCTCTTTTTCAAAAATAAAGGACAGGAAGGTAAAACAGGTCCTGTCTGGGGATTGCTACCAGTGAGTAAGGGAAGGGCATAAAGAAAGAATAAAGGAGAACAAATATGGTAGAAATATTATGTACTCGTGTGAACAATGAGACCTGTTCAAACTAATTCTGAAAAGAGGGGAGGGGGATAAAGGAGAATGATGGAGAGAGTGAATTTAACTAAGACATAGTATAACCACTTTTGTAAGTATCACAATGTACCCCCAGTACAACAATAATATGCTAATAAAAATTTAAAAGGTGTTGAATAAAGCACCCATTTAATTATTTTCTTGACCTATTGTCTTTTTAATCTCATTTTTTTGGTCTTTCTTAGGTATCATCAATCTTACAGAACAAGTGCAGTGGGTCAAAGTCAATACAAACATGACTGGCTATTACATTGTACATTATGCAGATGAAGACTGGGCAGCACTAATCAATCAGCTGAAAAAAAATCCTTATGTTCTGAGTGACAAAGACCGAGCCAACCTCATTAACAACATCTTTGAGCTTGCAGGGTAGAGTATCCTTGATTTGCACTTTTGTTGTTTTGTCTTTGTTTTTAACAAGAGTTATTGTGGTAAAGAACATTTCAGGAAATGGCTTGAAAGAACCTGTGTACTGATTGTAAGGTGCAATTCATTTTGGAAGATTGGGAAAATGTAAGATATGTTCTGTGCTTTCTGGGACTTTATAACCTATTCAGAAACATTAGCTACAAACATTGAATAGTTAAATACCACAAAACAGGATTTAATGATAATTCAAGACTGCCAACAAACAGGATACATATTTTGCTGGATACATTGTAGGCATTCAAGCTTTGTGTTGTTTGACTAGAGAATTATTCTCAAGCAGCAGTTGGTTTAAGTGTGAAGCAGAGCGCTTACCCATTGCTTTGAGAGGCATCGCTGATGGCTGGAGCCTCGTTGTCTGTGTACCCCTTTGCCTCTGCTACCACCTCATACATTATAGGATCCCAAAACCAAGAAAGGCAGTGGCCTCTTGAAAAGACATCCTCTGAATAGATTACCCATTTACATTGATAGTAGGCCTAGATGCACACTCGAGTGGATTCCATCTGACCACTCTTGACCTTCCCATTATGGTTCATTTCTTATGAAGTGGGCTTCTTGTATCATCTATAAACTGATTAATTTTTAAAAGATACTCACTATAAACTCAGAACATCATCTTAAGTGAAGTTAGCCAGGCTTAGAAATCCAAAGGCTACATGTTTCCTCTCATATATGGAATATAGACCCAATACAAATACAAGCAATATTATGAAAAACAGGTTATGCCAAGGGGAGGCCACACATGAGAGAGGAAGGGTAAAAGAAGGAGATTAAGAAGGTGAATATGGTTGATGTACCTTCTTATACAAGAATAAATCTAGAATTTTTAACCCTGTTGAAATTACCATAAGAAGGGGACTAAGGTAGAAAGGAGAAAAATAGAGGGGATGAACAAATTCAGGTTATAATACATATATACATGGAAATGTCACAATGAAATACCATATATAGCCATCTTAAACAAACAAAAATGCCTTTTTTTTTTTTTTTTTTACAAAAACAGAACAGGAAGGCAAAACAGGTCCTGTCTAGATGGTGGGGACCAGTGGGAGGGGAGGGAGGAGGGTGAATATGGTAGAAATGTTGTGTACACATGTATGTAATTGGAAAAGTGAGACCTGTTGAAACTATTCCAGGAACGGGGGAGGTAGGATAAAGGAGGATGATGGAAGGGTTGAATTCAACTAGTTTTGTAAATTTCACAGTGTACCCCCAATGTAACAATAACAATAAAAAAAATGGGTAATAAATAAATAAATTCACAATCAACTTTGCCTTAACAAGTTTGGCAAAAAAATTACCACACAACAACAAATCAAAATTGTTTCCTTTTTCTTTTTTTCCCCCTCATCCACATACTCTTTATGCCACTCCTTGTCCTCTGGTAAATATAAGTAGTTAATAAACAAAATTAGTATTATTCATCTTTTCCTATCTAAGACATTTTGATGATTTACTGAGTTGGTAGCAATTTATAGGTGACTTATGGAATAAAAAATGAGCTATCATGTATCTTTCTCTTGAAATGCATCTTTACCCTTGGTCCACATAAAGATAATTTGAGTCTAACTTATCTCACTATCTAATCATGCTGTTTTCTCTCCAGTGTGCTAGAGTTCTCTGTTTCTCAGCCTATTTACTTTTCCTGTTCTTTTATCCTTTAGCATAGGCAAAGTGCCTCTGAAGAGGGCCTTTGATCTGATGGATTACCTTATAAATGAGAACCATACTGCACCCATCACTGAAGCCCTGTTCCAGACCAGCCTCATGTATAACCTCCTTGAAAAACTGGGGCACATGGATCTGGCCTCAAGACTGGTGGTGAGTCTGCTTTTTTGCCAGCTGTTCCTGTTACCTGCCTTTAATATTGTTATTCACAGTTCCATTCAGCCTGTAGTGAGCTTAAAAAAAAAAAAAAAAAGCACAGTTAACTTCTGTTTTCTTCACTTTGCTGATTGTGAAATCTTTATTTTGAATCATGCATTGCATACCATCAAGAGGTGAATCTTCATTGCATACCATGAAGAGGTGATAAAGGCTTAGTATGAGGGGATCTTGTTTGAATATCAGAATATTGACTCTTGACCTTGCAGTCCAAATAAGGTCATTTGAAAAGAAAATGTTGCTATTCAAATCTGGTTTTGTTTTTATACAATAATCACTTGAAATGGGCCAATTAATTTGCTAGTGGTTATTAAAAAACAGCAGTTCCCTTTGTACTGAGAATATCCTGCTTAGGCTTCCTTGCTGATTACTCTGCAGTAGATAACCAGTGGGTAGACATGCCTTGGCAAGCCCTAAAGGAGTCTTGGAATTAGACTGTTTACCTTTCTTAAAACCAATCTTAACAGTCGCTTATCCTAATAGTTGTTATTTTAGTCACTCTCAATTAAACTATTAGCTGAGTCTTTAAAGGTTTGGGAGGAAATAATTCAATTTTATCCAGTTCTCTGAATGAGCACATTCTGAGAACAGGGCTTGCTTTATAAATCAGGTTTTCCAGGAACCCAAGTAAAGGCAACTTTCATGAAAAGGAAGAAGTATTGGACCAAGAATTAGAATAAGTCCTTTGTGGTTTTGGTATTCTCACTGGTAAAAGGAAGGGGTTCAGTTAAATCATTTTTAAAACAACTGTCTTTCTGCCTGTACTGTTATCCTACTGCACATCATCTGTGATGAGTTCTTTCATTGCATGTGTGATTCTCAGTGTGGGGATCGGCAGGGCACATGGGATAGGGGGAGCTTGAACCTCTCCCACAAACTTCTGATCTGACCCCAAGGTAAGAGAATTTCTAAGCCCTCTTCTAATGGTTAATATTTTTGTCATTTTCCATGTCATAAGAACAAGTGCCTGGAACATGACCTGGCCCGTAGTGACTCTCATTAAATGTTGAATGAATAAATGAGTGAAGCACGCCAGAAACAAACACATCTGGGTGATTATTATATTGTACACACCATGCTTAGCACTTAATGTAGATGGCCTCATTTAATCCTCACATGATGCCAAAATAGTTACTTCTAACACCATAAAATAAAGAGACTAAATAACTTTCCCAAAGTTACTACCTTGTAATGTCTAAAGCTGAGATTCAAACCAAAATTAGTTTTACTCCAAAGCCTACTCTTTCTGGTATGTTGCTATATTTTAAGTAAATTTGTGTTCCAGCAATATCTCTCCATGATACTTTCTGTTGGGAAAATTAAAGCTTCCTTTCTTGCTATCATTTTTTTCCTTTTTAAAACTGAGATTTTTTTACATTAAAGCAGTTTGAAAAACTCTATACCATACGTTTTTAAGAAGTAAAATGACAGACCCACATTTGTTGTTGTCTTGGAAATGAAATTGTCAATTTATGAGATTTCTTTTATATCTGAAATGTTAACAGAAGTATTTGTCTACAGTTTTTATGTGCATTTCCAAGAAGTGTGCAGATACTTTATAGGTCTCTCTATGACAAACTGGGAATCCAACACAGACTTTCTACTGTTGCTGTGTAAAGAGATTGGCCATTTGTTATCAGTGTGGCTACTCTTGATGTACATTTGGGTTGTTTGCAGTTTGGAGCTGTCATGAATAGCACTACTGGGCCCATCTTTAGTGAATATTTGTATATATTTCTGTGGGATAGATGTCTGAAAATGGAATTACTGCATCATAGGTATGCATAGTTAATATGATAGTTGTACCAATTTATGTTCCCATGAGCAGTGTGTACAAATTCCAGATGTTCTGTATCCTTGCCATTGCTTATTAGTCATAGAAAATCCTTTTTCCTCTTAGCTTTCTGAGGGTGCACACCAGTATATGTATATGCAATTTTGACTTTCATTTGTACTTCTCTGCTGAACAATGTAAATGAATTTCTTTTAACATGTTTATTGGCCATTGGATATTCTCTTTTGTAAAGTGCCCAGTTCTTTTGCTTGTTTTCTGTTAAATTTTGCCTTTTTTTCAGTGATTTATGAGAATTCTTTATATATTCAAGATATGAATTATTTGTTCTTGTTTATTTTCAAGATCTTCTTTCACTATCTTGATGGCTTTGATTAATATAAATTCTTAATTTTAATGTAGTTTAGTGTATGAAATCATTTCCTACACCACAATATTCTGTTTGCTTTTGAAAACTTTTATATTTTATCTCTTACATTTAGATCTATGATGGCTCTGGAATTGAGCCTTGTGTATGGTGTGAGGTAGACAACAAGATTTATTTTTTCAATATGTGTTTCTAGTTATTCCTGCATGAGTATATTTCATTGAATGTATTTATTTTAATTATAGAATTATTTTGGAAGTAATTACTGTCATACCAAATAAGCAACAGTTGAGGAAGTATATTAGTTTCCTAGGACTACCGTGACAAATTGTTACAAACTTGGTGTTAAAAAATAATAAAATTTATTCTTTTATAGTTCCAGATGCTACGAGGCCAAAGTCAAGGTGTTAGGGTAGGGTTTGTATCCTCTAAAGAAGTATTTATTCCTTGCCTCTTTCGTAGCTTCAGGTGGCTGCCAGCAGTTCATGTCATCCCTTGGCTTATGAATGGATCACTCTAGTCTTGCCTTTGTCAACATGGTCTTCTTGTGTTTTTGTGTCTCAAATTCCCTTGTGGTCCTAAAGACACCAGTTATTACATTGGAGCCCATGAGAACCTTGTTTTAGCTTGATTATATGTACAAAGACCCTACTCCCAAATATAGTTCTACTCTCAGGTTCCAAGCAGGCACAAGTTGGAGGGAGTAGAGCCACTCTTCAACCCAGTACAGATAGCAATAAATGAGATTAGTATTCATTTTCCTCGCTATTAATTGGTTCTGAGTATACCCTAAAAGGAGGCAGGTGTCTGCCAACTGTGAAGCTGTCCAACTAGTTAGTTTCATGATAGAAGCCATTCTCCCCATGCCTGTCTTCACTAATCTATTTAGGGCTGAGTCTCAGGAGGCACTTGGTATCCCTACACTGAGAACACAGATGCTAAACTCAATTCAAAGAGTTAGACTTTGGAATATTTTCCTATTGGCACTTTAGTAACTCTTCTTCCTTCTGCCTCTTCATCCTGGATGATTTCCAGTTTTCTGGACAGGTATGTATTTATCAGGAACATACTTTAGGATGGGATACAGGAGACTGAGGGCAAACTTCATAGTTTGGTGTGTGTTTCCAAGGTCAAAGACCCTTTCACTGCTCTAGGTCTTCATATTGTTCGCTAAAAGCTAACTTGACTTTAGTTCATCAAGAGAGAGAAACTGTCTCTTTAAAATTCCTGTTCTAATCTAAGGGCATTCTGGTAGCATCAAAATTATCAAACTGTGAAACCAATTGCTAGTTAGGAATTGTGACAGCAGACATTTCTGAGTCCTTGAATCCAGTGTTCAAATGTATTAGGGCTTAATATTGGTGTCTAATTAATTTTTATGTCATTGTAACCAGAGCTTTATGTCTACTTATTGGTCATTTTGTTATGAAAGGTGCATTTTGTGGTATGTGCTGTGCTGTGGTGTTGTGGTGTGTAGAGTTCAGAGACACATTTGAATTGTGTTAAATTCTTCATATCTGATGTTGACATGTGAGCCTAGCCATATTCCTATTTTATCACTTACAAATCCATCATTCTCTTACATGAGGCATTGGTAGGATAAACCTTTTGCAATAAAAACTGACATTTCACTTTTAAGAAATTCAGTTGACCTAGGAAAGAACTCCCTGGATGTATCAGTATAAAATTAAAGCAGTAAATCAAAATGTAACACATAGCATCAGTGCCAGCACCTTTCCCTGTCTTTTATTTTTAAATTATTTTATTTCTCATGGCATTTTATTGCATATCTGTCATTTATAGCTTAGAGAGACAGCCCATCAATTTATTCCTTTTTCTCACTTTCTGTTTTTACCTTACGAATCACAGCACTGAATTCTACTGTTTAATGAACTGAAATTTCAAAAGATTGTGGAAACCATAGAAAAAGAGATTTTATTTTAATTATAAAAGGAAAAGATAATTTGAAGCACCTGTCATTCTTCATTGATATTAAATTAATATTCAATATTAATATTAAAAACATAACCTGAGACGGCACTGTAGCTCACAGAGATCTGGAGAATTGCAGTTGCTGACCAGCATGGGCAAAAAGTTAGACCCCATCTTCACATAGTTCTGTAAATCCAGCTATGCAGAAGGCATAAGTAGAAGGATCATGGTCCAAGATCAGCCCCAGAGTATCTGAAAAATAAAGGCAAAAAGGCTGAGGGCATGGCTCAAGTGGTAGAGCACCTGTCCTAGCAAGCATGAGGCCCTGAGTTCAAACCTTCGTACTGAAAAAAAAAGAAAGAAAGAAAATATAGCCTGAATTACTTATTTAAATGATCATATTTTAATATGTTACAACTCGAATTATATATAAAATCAACTATTTTGGGAGTTTCTTTTACTTATTTGATGTATGCATCTAATGAGCAGAATCACGATCTGTAATTCCAGTGCTATAAGTGGTGAGAAATTAGCCTCAGTGTGTCAAGTGTCAGGGTCTCTTTGCTTCTTCCAGTACTTAAGGTGCCATTTCCCCTATGGGTCTTCTGTGTTTTTAAAGGCATTGCTATGTTCCTCCACTGAAATTTTTAAAAAGAAGATTGCAGCATGTGAAGGATTTTTTTTTTCACATTTTTTCTTTGTTCTATTTGACGGTTATGAGTAGCTTTTAAATTTCTTTTATTCTTCACCCATTTGGGACATTGTACTATCATGATGCCATTGCAAAGCTCAGACCAATAAAGCAATATGTGTCAACCTGGTCAGAGATGTCCAGTGGGGTCCCCTGCGTTGCTTTTATGGCCCTTGCATTATCAGTTGGCATGGCAAATATCTGCCCATTTAATGTCCTTCCAATAACTTGCAGGCTTCACGCCTCACACATTCTACAAGGTGTCTGGTCTCTGTTGCTTTTAAACAAACAAAAGCAAGTTGTGTGTTGTCTCAGACTTCAAGTCCTTCCTGCACAGATTCTTTTTTCCATTCTATAGCCAGCTCCACAAGAGACTTATACAGAGAAGATCTTCTGAGATGACCTCAATAGCTGAGAACAATCCAAATAGGCTTCATTTTAGGGATTGAGAGTGACACTCAAGAAGGAAATAATGCTTCGTGAAGAAGTTACACCACATTTCTGGGGTTCTGAATTTTGTGTTGGTCACTTGTGATACTTGGTCACTTGGGCTGAGACATGGTGGAGGTGCTGGTGAAGAAGTATAGGTGGGAAGAAGTCCCTGTGTTAGGATCTCTGGGGAGAGAGACACCTGTGAACACTTTCATTTGATCCTCCTGTATAGAGCCATGAAGATTTTCTTTAAAAAGAAAAGCATAGAAGCATTTTTATGTCAAAATTTTTCCTTCTTGTAGATTTCACAAATGCATATTTCTTAGATTTTTAAAATCTTTTTTTTAAGTGTTCTCCCCTCCCCATGCACGATAATTTGTAATATGGAAATACTTCCACATAATGTGAATAGTTTTTATGCCTTTGTTGTGGAGAGAGATGAAAAGGCGGCTTGTTGATTCCTTAATATAGCAAGTGTACTTTAATAATGACAACCCATTCAGAAGTCACCATAGCGATGCATCTGCATAGTATAGTTTGATGATGTAATAAAATATTTGTCAGTTTTCCAAAGTGTGATTGAGGTATTTTGGTTATGTAGAAGAATATCCTTATTTCTGGGAGTTGCTTGTTAAGCCCTGTATAATGAAATATCATGCTGTCACTTACTCTCATATGGTTCAGTTAAAACCAGAAAAAACAAGTGTGTATGTGTATTACATGCACACATGCAGTCCCTAGCAAAGCAAATGAAAGAATGAACTGGTAAATCTGGATGAACAGCATGTGGATGCTCATTAAACTATTTCTGCATCTTTTCTGTAGACTTGAAATTTTTTACATAAAAAGTTGGAAAAAATAGACTATAAACAACCATTCTTATGTGCAAGTCTCATTTTCTTTGTAATTTGGTTAGGTTAATTTCTATAGCATCATGCTAGTTAGTATGTTAAGTACACATTAATATTGAATTTAGAAACAATTTAAACATTAACTATCAGTAAAGAAGTATATTTTCATCTCTGCTTTATAGGTTTATGGATTGTGAAATCATAAGGTTATGAAGTTCCAACTTCCTTCTTGCAGTGGTTATAGGTTATACTTCTTGGCTGGACAAAAACTTCCAGCTGAGTTGTTCTGTGTATATATAACACAGAATAAAGGTTCTCTAGTACACAGATGTCATTAATTCTTTCTGAGTTATATCATTGTGTAAGTCTTCTTGGCTACCGCTTTGTTATTGAATGGTTCCATCCCAGCTTTACATGTCAATGAATATTTAATGGATAATATCTATGCCTTTTTTTCCTCAGTGGGTTAATGTTGGAGAAAAGAGATGTAGTTGTCTGATATTGCTGATTGTCCCAATTATTAATACTCCACTATAATACATTTCATCTCTCTAGACTAGAGTATATAAATTGCTTCAAAACCAAATCCAACAACAAACTTGGACCGATGAGGGCACCCTGTCTGTGCGAGAGCTTCGGTCAGTCTTGCTGGAGTTTGCTTGCTCCCACAACCTGGGGAACTGCAGCACTGCTGCCATGAAGCTGTTTGATGAATGGGTGGCATCCAATGGAACTCAAAGGTGAAGTACAGTCTAGTCAAGTGAATTCCCTTCCCTCTTACTTTATATCATATATTGAAACCAGTTCTCACCTGGATCATGAATGTTATAAAACTGAATGTTAATGTAGACAAACTCAAATAAATATAATATAAAATTTACCATCTTATCCATTTCTTAGTGTACAATTTAGTAGTGCTAGGTATATTCACATTGTAATGCACCAATCTTCAAAAAAACATTTTTCTGTCACAAAACCAAAATTCTAAATCCATTAAACAACTCCCTACTTCCTCCTCCTCATAATCCCTAGCAAGCATTGTTCTACTTCCTGATTCTATGAGTTTGACTATAGTAGATACCTTATGTAAGTGAAATTATACAGCATCTGTGTTTTTTGCAACTAGTTTATTTCACTTAACATGTCTTGAAGGTTCATGTATGTTGTAGCATGTGTCATACTTTCCTTCCTTTTTAAGGCTGAATAATAAAATAATATTCATATATATATGTATATATAACACATTTTGTTTGTCCATTTATTCGTGGATAGACCTTTGAATTGCTTCTACTTTTTGGCCATTGTGACTACTACTGCCATGAACAAAGGTGTATAACTATTTCTTGGAGGTACTGCTTTCAAGTCTTTTGGATATATATCCAAAAAATGATATTGCTGGGTCACAGGTTATTCTATTTTTAATTTTTGGAGGCACTGCCACACTACCTTCTTTCCCATAGCAGCTGTATCATTTTACTTTCCCACCAAAAGTACATAAGCATTCCAGTTGTTTCATATCCTTGCCAACATGTGTCTTATGATTTTTTTTTTCCTTGAGGTGGTAGAGTTCAAATCCAGTCCTCACATGCTGGGTAAATACAGTGTCACTGAGCTATATCCCTATACCCTATTTTCTGGGATTTTCTTTTTATAGCACAATTTCTTAAGGGTATGTGGTGACAAATAAGTCATCTTTAATTTAGGAATAAAATATAGAAGGTGGAGTGAGCAATTAGTAGTTCTTAGTGATGATTGATTCTCTCCAGGTTTCTTACTGGGAATTATGAACAGAAAATTCATATATCAGATGGAAAGTTGAGGTGGGGAGTCTGAATAATCCTCTGAACTCTTTCCAAGCTCTGAGCTCTTAATAAGGACAGAAGACTGTTTCAACCCCCTTTTCACAGCCTCCCCATACATTTCTGCTTATTTATGCTATGGAACTTACCACACTGTCTTGTAGTGAATAGATTTATTTTTGAATTCTTTGTGATAGCCCAGGAGACTCTGAAGAGCAAGACTTCTCTTTTTCCCTTTCCAGCATCCAACCAGATGATTCTTTGTGAGTGCTCAGTGAATAATTATTGTAGTAAATTGAACTAATGTTCTTTGAAGTTGTACTCATAGGAAAGAAGCAGTCATTGAATTAAGTTTTTTCTTGACTATAAATTGTGTAGTTAAGACTTTTGTAATTATTACTACTCTGATCCCCAAAGCACCTTCATTAGTCAATTCCTTACCTTTATATTCCAAATTTTTTCTTGTTATTCTCATGTTTCATTATGTCTCTTATAGCCTACCTACTGATGTCATGACTACTGTATTCAAAGTTGGAGCAAAAACTGAAACAGGCTGGCTATTCCTCTTAAGCAAGTATACGTCTGTAGGCTCTGAAGCAGAAAAGAACAAAATACTTGAAGCTCTTGCCAGCTCAGAGGATGTACGGAGACTTTACTGGTAGGAAACCACTGAAGGAATGTGATATGAAGAAACCAAAAGATATAAGCCTTTTGCTTCTAGGATAGAGGCTCGTTTGAGATCCCCTTTTCCTCTGTCATAAGCCAGACCTGACTTGGATAATGCTGGGCTTCATCTTGGAGACTCAACCTTTACAAATGCTCAGATGCTTTATTCAAAAGAGATTCAGAGATGTTGAGAATTACAACTGCCTCCTACTTCTTGCTCAAAACATTCCTCCCCCTTGGCATATTGTCTTAAACTCCACAGTCATTATTCTTCATCCTTATTTTCCTTTCTCTGTTAGCAGTATCAGTTCTTATCTGTGTATTTACCTGTGGAAGTATACAGGTTGAGTATTCCTAATCCAAGAAACTCTGAAATGCAAACACTTCTGGTCCCAGGCATTTCAGATAAGGAATACTCAACCTGTATATATGTAATGCACATATAAATATTTAGCCATATTTTAAAACAGATTTATCCTATAACCTGTGTTTTACAATTCTTTTTAGTGAATTATTTCCCAAGTCATTTCATAAACCCTCCTTTTTTATGGCTTAATGGTATTCCAAAGTATGGCTCTCTTATAATTTATTTAAGCCATCATGTCTTGTTGGGCATTTGAGTTTCTCTCCCTAAGAAATGTTGCTATATTCTTTTTTGTTTGTGTGGGGTTTTGTAATGATAAGCAGATAGTATAGCATAATAGATAAGAATTGCTTACTTCAAACCCAGGCTTAGTATTTATTAGCTGTGAACTGTGGGGTAGTTACATAACCTCAAGTTTCCATCATGATGCAATAAAGGAAGCAATAAGTTTCTTTTTCATAGCATTGTTGTATTGAGCACTTATACCATCATCTAGTGTATAGTATCAATCAGTGATAACTGCTAATAAGAAGATATTTTGAAATATATCTTCATTGTCAAATTATTTAAACAGCCCAAATTTTAAGAGTAGTTACTTACCTACCTATTAAAACTAAGTCAGAGTTTTACCTGGAGGAAAACAAAAATAGTCTTTAAAATCTCTACAATAATAATAAACTCTACCAGAATTTGTTTCTTAAATTTCCTTAGTATCAAAAACTATTATTAGAAGACAGTATGTATAAATGCTTATCCTAGTGAGTTATCCTTTCAAAAAAAGACAAGTTTTCAATTTGTAAATTAATTTTAGACTAACCCAACACTCATTTCCCTTGAATTGCTATAGACATTCAGTCAGGAAACCAATACTAATTTCAGTCATCACTTCTTCATGAACGTTATTGTAGAGGATGAAATCTGTTTTGATCTTCAGGTTAATGAAAAGCAGTCTTCATGGAGATATCTTCCGAACACAGAAGTTGTCATTTATCATTAGAACAGTTGGCCAGAATTTTCCTGGACACTTGTTGGCATGGGATTTTGTCAAAGAGAACTGGGATAAGCTTGTACAGAAGTAAGTTTCTCAGAGAATGGCTAACTTTTTGTGTTCTTGGGCTCTGCATTTGGAAAAAGTTCCCAATGCTGTGTTCTTTCACACAAGTTATGATCTGTTATGAAAGGAAAAACTCTTCTTTGAACCCAGAATTGTTTACATTTAAGAACATAATTATATAGGATGAGTCGTTTAATGGTGGTGTTCCATTCAAGTACTAACCAAGGCCACCCATGCCTGACACCAGATTATTTAGGCCAGCAAGGCTACAGACTGAATGTTCTGGATAGCTATTTAATTGTGCACATTGAAACTACCTCTGTTGGCAAGGCATCCATTAAAGACTCGCATCACGTCTATCTAGATAGCACATGTAGGTTTCCTTCTTCCTTTCTCTTATAAAGCAGTGACAGTATTTCGTTGAAAATTGTATTAATTTATCTGGATATCCCTAACTCCTCCCTTTTTCTGGTCACCTTTCTTCTAAGTGGAAGTGAGTGGGTGTAGATGCCACTGATTCCTTGAGCTGCAGGTCTGGGGAGTAAAACTCCACTCTGTCTTTGGCATTAAAGCATTTCCTTTACACTTAGAAATAGTGACTTGCTTACCAATAGCTACCCATTTTTTTCTCTTTTATTTGTGTTTCTTCAGGTTCCATCTGGGGTCCTATACCATACAAAGTATTGTTGCTGGATCAACTCACCTGTTTGCAACAAAGGCACATTTGTCTGAGGTTGGTTATATAAATGCTAGGAGGCTCAGTGTGAATTGGTGGCATTCATGCTAATTCCTGTCCCTTCTCTGTCCCTTCATCAGTGTTAATGATTCTGCTTTGAGGTTATTTTAAAAGGGTTGGACAAGGAAGGAAAATACTAATTCTACTTTCAGTACTATTCACTTATGCCCGTAATACAAATTATTTAAGTGGTAATATGTTTGTTTTGAGGAATTCTATCCAAAGGATGACTTTATAACAACAAGGCTAATTTAAGATTCCATTTATTTACTGTTTCTTGAACATTTTTTTTTCTATTTTAAGTTAGAAGTAGTAAGGACCAGATGTAGTAGTAATAAGGAAGAGTTATTTTTAAAAATACTTCATATATTCTCCTGCTTGCTTGAGATCTCCATGTAGATACCGTAAATGTTAATGTATTTCTCTCTACTGCTTTCAAGATATCAGCACTGCCAGTCATCACTAAGTTAAAGCTTATTTCAAAAGGACACTCATAGTTAATGTCATTTTCTTCTTTTAAAACACTTGTATGTGGAATTTACAGGTCCAGTCATTTTTTGAAAATCAATCAGAGGCAACTTTTCAGCTCCACTGTGTCCAGGAGGCTTTGGAAATCATTCAGCTGAATATCCAGTGGATGGAGAAGAACTTGAATGGTCTGACATGGTGGCTGTAGCACACACCATTGCACCTTGTTCCGTTGCCCATTCAGAGAGCTGTGAACTTGGGCTCTGCTGCTTTTGCAAAAGTCAAGGTGAAGCCAGGACTGCTGCCAAGTTGTTTGCACTGTTCTAGTTAGCTCAGGGCCCACTGTATTTTTCATCTGTCTTTTCTGAAACATCTTTTGGCAGTATGTAGGTATTTATTATGAAATAATACTCACCCATATGACAGCCATCCAAAAAAACAATGAGTAATTGTTTCACTTTGCACATACACAAATGGGAAGAAACATCAATTTTGTAATTCTGTTCTGTTTCTCAGTATCCAGAGAGTTATTGACTCAGTGAAACAAGGAGAGATCTACCATAAGAACCACCATCTTTCAGGCTGCTGTTGTTAGCATTTGTTGGTTCTTGTTGATAAATGCTATTGGAATGTATTGAAGAGAATGGTTACGAAGACGGTGAAGCATGCAGCTGTACAGAGCTGATCTCAGGTGTGCAGGTCTACTTTGATTTGGGGTTTTGAGTAATCCTTTATTCTCCAAAAAGTTTAATATCTATAACTATTGTATTTTTTTCTGCAGAATAGTCAGGTGCTACAGAATTTTTAATTGTTTTGTTGTATTGAACAGCTAAGTAGCCAAGCCAAAATGTTAAATCTTTCGGATATTTGACACTTTCTGTTTCATCTTTTATAGCACAGGAAAATGTTCCAAACTGAGTTAGTTTTAATTATAATTTATTCATGAGTGTCAATATTCCACAAATCTATACACCATCGTCACTCCTATACTAGATTAACCTTATGTTAAACCTAAGTATTTCTATGTTTGTGGCACGCATTCTGTTAACACTGGTGTTTTTTGTCATGACTTTTATCACTAATACTAAGAATGCAGTCTGTTTAAGTTTCCTTTTGTACTCACAAATCATAGACTCTTTCTCTTTGAATCATACCCATGTGTGGATTTTCATTTTATATGATACAGTAGCATATTAGAAGCACATATTTTAAAATAGGATCTTTGCGAAATGGAAAATTCTTATTTGAAGTTCACCATAGTACCTTAAAGGAGCAAAGAGAATGTGGAATAGGAGCAAGTTGAATTCATGTTTAATATGGTGGGCTTTGAAATTTTTTTCCACTATTAAAAGCAGTACTTTTGTCTGATTGAAAAAAATCAATTTTTCTTTTATTTGTGGCCAGATTAACATTAAATAGAATAATCAGTGAATGAAAGAAAGAAAAATGAGGGAGGATATCCAAAACTGTATGGCATTTTTACTCTTTTTGAGGGAGAAATACTGTACTTGAATTTTTTGAGCTATGCAGACTTATATGTAGATTGTTGTGTTTCTTTGATCTTAGGAGAGAAGTTTTCTTCCTAGTAACTCTTAAGAACTTTATATTTTATTTGAAAATAGTGTCTATGTACATAAAAAAAGGGGAGTTACTCTTTTGTGAGCACTTGAAACACTCCACAGACAATAGAAAAGGTCAGCTTTTTTATTCAGCAGTTGTAAAGTTAGAATATGTGAGGTTGTGTACAAGATTATATTTTATTTTATGAAAGTATTTTTCTATAGCAAAAGTTAAAAGGCTGGCAAGCTAAAAGATAGTGTGCTTTAATCCTAGTGTATTTTCTCTAAATTTAGGCATTTCTGAACACTTATTACTCTGTTTTTGAGTAGAATATATTATAGCCTGAGAATCACAGAATCATCTAAAGATGTCATATTGAAACTGAAATGATTATAGATCTTTATTTCTCTTGTGCTTTGATGAATGATAATGTAGTTGACATTGAAAATTAGTGTTTTTGTATTTTCAGAGTGAAGGAAAGGTACTAATCTTTTGGGGATTTTTTTTTGTTATTCTTTTACAACGTTGTATTACTAAATTCCACTTTGATACAGAGTTTAAATTTTGCTAATTCTCAAAATCAATTAAGAGTTTCAGTTTTACCTACTTAATACTCCTAAAATATATGTTAATTCTGAATATGGCAAATCTTAAATTATATAATTTTTCAGTTAAAATGTGTGCTTGTATGTATGTGTGTATATAAATGTGTAGGTTGTTGTTACAAGTAAAATGTTATCAAAAACAGGCTAAAAAAGAGGTAACTTATGATCCATTGCTATGTATAGACTCAAAGGTCATTTGTTTCCATTATACTGAATCCATAATATTTGTAGTTTCATTTATAATATTACCTTAATTATTTGTGGTTTCAGTAGGCCTCATCTTAATTTTTCCCACAAATTTCCATAATTTTTAATATTATGCTAACCCATTTGAATGGCATCTCTTAGAACTACTAACTGTAAGTCAGGAATATAAGGCTAAATAAGAGGTAGAACTTACAATATAATAAGTATAATGGTAGCTTTGAGATTTTGTTCCCCAAGAGTTTATACCGTACATTGTATCTCTGAGAATTCAGATTGAAGCAGAAGTCACAGAGTGTCAGACACACAGGTGGCTAACACCATTGAGTATGAATAAGTGGTCTATTCATAGCAGAGAGATTGTCTATTGAAAGTAATATGAAGCTCATCCTACTAGATTATAGGAGAAATAGAATTGGAAATCTAGATTGATAGAAAGAAAATGTGTGCTTTGGAGATCTGGAAAGTTATGAAAATAGAAGATAAAGGAGTCCGGTTTGTTCTGTTAATATGAAGTGAGTAGGTGTGTTAAATGCAAGTAGTGGCAGCTTCTACCATAAGTTTGTGCCTCCCTCTGTCTTGCTTCATTTAAGTCTTTTTAAGTGAGATTGTGTCATTGTCTCACAGATGCTCTTACTATCATAGGTTCTACTTAACTCTAATTTTCTTTGCTGTGTGTTTTCATTTTACGGACTTTAGCCACTGTAGGAACAAAAAATCTGTTCAGTCCTGAGTATGGAGGGCAAACCAAGTTGCATCTGTGTTACTGGGTACCAAACAGATACCTTTCTGAAATTAAAATCAAGCGCTGAGTGTGTTGGGTTACTGATAGCCTGTTATTGTACTGGATTTTAAGAAAGTACTCAAACTAAAATGCCTTGGAACCCCTGGAACTGTACTCTGCTGTCAGATTGCTTAACGTTTACCAATGCTGTCTGTTTCATGGGGCTGTAAGGATGCTACAATGCATCTCAGTGATGCTGTCACCAAAGACAGCAGTTCCTGGGCTGAACTCAAAGCAAGATGTGGATTTTGTTGCTTAGGCCTAAGAAGAATTGGAGTCATAGGTATGGTACTGTAGTTATTCTTACCTTCACCTTCATTGCTTTTGTTTTTATTGAAATTAACTCCTAATTAAAAAGCTTCTTTTCCTCCTACCCCGATTTGTATTTTTTAAAAACTAAAGTATATATTTTTGTGTTCTTTTATTTTGTGCTTCATTCTCTACATTGGCAAGTATGTACCAAATGAAATGTGGAGGTCTAAAAGTATGATAAATCTCCTCTAATCCCTTTCCCTTATTACCTGCCTAGGCAATGTCTTTTAGAATAGGCAATGGATTTGTTAGTAGTTTTGAGGATAGGTAGGTACTTTTTAAATGTATATATGTATTTTACATGTTTTTATGTTCTTTTATTTTGTGTATTTTGTCCTGATGAATAGTGAAATATTGTTCTATGAAACCTCTGTCTACTTACCAGATTGCCTATTGTGGGCAATGGCTATAGAGTAGTTGTTTGGTTTCTTTTTTTTCTTTGAAAGAAGGTGATGATGTTAGGATGTTAGGAGTAGAACAGGGCAGTTTCGTTTAAAGATGTGTAGAGATGGTTTTGCTGCTATTTTGTGAGTGTTATTTTGTTCTGCACCTTGTTTATGCTTCTCACGGACGTGTGGATAAACCGTGGAGGTCCAGAAGTGTGGCATTGTCCCATTTACCTTTCTCTTTATTGCATGCATGAACAATAACTAACAGGGTTCCTAGTGGCTGTTGTTTTGCGCTAGTCTTAAGGACTAGACCAAGTATATATAAGTGTTATGCTACTTTTTATATTTCATTTTGTACTTGCTTCTTTACATGGATGTGTATATACTTAATGAAAATTGAGGTTCAGACTATGGCAAATATCCTCTTTTCCCTTTTTCTTTCTTATTGCCTCTTTTACAATAGCTAATAGAGTAATTTTGTTCAGGGATACAGGAAAGAGTGGGGTTTATACTCTGTAAAAGTGCACTCGCTACTGCATTGTATCACTAAAGTCATTTGTACTGTGTGAAAATAAGTACCTAATGAAATGCGGCAGTCCAGATGTATAATCATCACCTCTTCTTCTCATCGCTGAACAGAGTAGCTGTGAAAGTGGGTGTTTGAGGGGAACATAGGGAGGTGTACTTACTGCTATATTGTATTAATTCATGGGTGCTCAGACTGCAAGGCACCATGAACCATGGAGTTCCTGATGTATAACAATCTCCTCTTTCCCTTTCCCTTACTGCCTATGGGGCAATGCTTTTTAGAGTGGTTTGAGTTTAGTGAAAGTTTTGTTTTTGTTTTCTGCTAGGGAAGAGAAAAAGTAATTTCAGACTTTTAAGATGTATATAAGTGTTTTTGCTGCTTTCTTAAAAATTTCATTGCTTACCTTGTCTTTCCCTGAATATGTGAAAAATTGAGGACCATTCTGTGACAAGTTTCCTCCCTTCCCTGTATCGGCTGCATGGGCAGTGTCTGGTAATGTAGTTGGTGAGTTTCAGGGCTTCTTCTGTGGGTATTGGGGCATATAATTTTTAATGTATGTATATGCTTTTGCTTCTTTGATATATCATATTTCATGGGTGCCAGTCCTTCACTTGGACTTACAGGTTCCTGATGAACCGTGGAGTGCTGTATGTCTGACAATCTCCTCTTCTCCCTTTCCTTTTTTACCTGGCTATGTGGGCAATAATTTTCAAGTTGTTTGGGGTTTTTTAGGTTTCAAGGGGTGGGAGCTGACTAAAGGCAGGATATATACCTTTTTTTAAAATGTATATAGTTTTTGTTATTATACTGTGTTATTTCATTTTGTACCGAGTCCATGGATGTACAGGTACTTAATGAATCGTGGAGGTCCGGATGTATGAAAATCTCCTCTTTTCCCCTTTCCTTGTTGCCTATATAGGCAATAGTTGTAGAGTAGCATAGATATTTTTTTTTAGTCTACCTCCCTAGAAGGGAGCAGTATGTTGGACTTTTAAATCTGTATATAAGTGTTTATGCTCCTTTTTCTGTACTTCATTTTGTAACCTAGATTTATCTGTGGACATTTCAGTACATAAGGAGAATTAAGGTTCATTCTATGAAAAAAATCTCCCTTTCCCCTTCCCTTATTGCCTGTCTGGGCAATGGCTAGTAGAGTAGTTGTTTAGGTTTCTTTGGCAAGGGTGGGGGTGGGGGATTTCTGCATTTGTACCTTTTTAAAAATGTATATAAAAGTTCGCTAGTTTTTTTTTTTCATTCTTTCTATCTCAACCCAGGTTTTGTTTGACTTATAAGTATTAGATATAAGGAGAGGCCTAGCCTCAGAGGTGTGGGACATCTTCTTTCCTCTCCCCTATAGCCTGTGTATCTAGGCAATCGTTATGAGTACAGTAGAGCTTGGGGTTTTTTTTTTGTGTGTGTGTGTGTGTGTATGGTGGGGGGAATTAATGGAGAGTGGGCTTGTTAGAGAAAAAGGCAAAAAATGTATATATTTTTAAAGATGTAAATATTTTTGCGACTTTTGGGTATTATACTTTATTTTGAATCTGGACTTTTGCATGACTATTTAGGTATTAATAAACACTGAGATTGACTCTATGAAAACTCTCCCATGCTCCCCATCCCTCATTGCCTGGTGGGCAATAGTAGAATAGATCTTTGTTTGTTTGTGGAGGTCTAGGTGTATATATTTTTTAATGTATATAAACATTTGCTACATTTGGTGTGTTATTTCATGTAGTGTCCAGTTCTTTGCTGGGACTTGTAGATGTATAATGAAACATGGAGGTCTAGACGTATGATAACTCTCCTTTGCTCCCCTTCCCTCATTGCCTGCAAGGGCAATAATTTTATAACTTGGGTTTTTTGTGGGAAAAGGGTTATTTGGGTGGGTAGAGTTAAGGGAAAAGGACATGGTATATACTTTTTTCTAAATGTATATAAATGTTTTCACATTATTGATTAGGTACCTAGTCCTTTGCATGGATATATGGATACCTAACAAAAATTGAGGGTCAGTGTATGACAAATCTCCCACTCTTCCCTTCCCCTTATTACCTAAACAGACAATTAGAGTAGTTGTGTGTTATGTTCTTGTTTGTTTCAGAGGGTTTATATTTTTGGCAAAATATTCTTAATAAGAATAAGTATGTTTTCATATCTTTGTTACTTCATTTTTGTATTTAGTCTGCATGAATATGAAAGGCCCAATGAAAATTGAGTTTCATATAGCAGAGTACTTCCTTTCCCAACTATTTCCTTATTTAGCAATAGCTAGTATAGTTGTTTTATGGTTATTTTGTTTTATTGTCTAGTATCTATACCTTTAAGGATATAAATACATGCATACATAACTTATTTCTTTTCTACCCTTGTTATTTCCCTTTAATATTTAGTCCCTTGTAGGATTCTGAATGTTCCTTAAAAAAAAAAAAAAGTCCTCAGTAAGTCTCTGGCATCTGGCTTGAAGGTGTAGCAATGTGACACAATGTGCAACTAATGGCAACAGGCATGCAGCAAATAAGATGTGAGGGGGCACTTGGACATGGTTGAGTTGGGAAAGCTAATCAGATCCAGCATTTCTGGTGTTGATTTAAACTGAACGAGATGGTGAAAGCAGATCTGTACTTTTGTAAATACCAGAAAAGAAGAGGACAGCACTAAGTAAAATTCTATTTAAGCTTCATTACTAATTAATAGTTTAGAAACTGGTAAAGCATTGAAGCTGGTGAGCTAATAACAGTGTCCCTTCACTTATTTGAAGACCCTGAAAAGCATCTTCTGCTTGTGGCCTGGAGTTCTGATTTATCTAAAGTTGCTCCATCAGTAGCATGTTTTTGTTTACCCAGGAGAAATTAATTTTGATTCTTGGAATGAACTTTTGAGTTTTTGTCTTTGCTCCAGTAAACGATAACATGGGTCCAAAAACTAATCCAAAAAGAATTTCGGGACAAGCCCTTTGCATATTTCAACACCCACATGTGGCAGGGCAGGTTGCTCCTTTCCTACATGGAACTCTTGAGTGGCTGCACCTCTTTCCTCTATTTTCCATTAGCTGGACAATTCCTGTTCTGTTTTCCCTTTTGTCTCCAGTGCCTGCACTAAGAAATTAAGCCAATGCTGCCTCATTAGCCTTGTGTTTTTGTATGCATCTCATGCACTCAGGACTGTGTGTTTGCTTTCAACATTCTTATATCATATTTCACATTGTCTTTTCACCCACCACATGGTAAACGTTATAACTACACATTTGTCTGCATCAAAGAAAATGCATGTGTAAACCTCCCTGTCTCTATTCCTTCCTTCCAGCCTCTTTGCTTTATTTGTTTTGTTTCACATTTATAATGATACTATTCCATGCTGAAGATTTGCCATATCATTATTTAAGAAACATTGAATGATAGGACTCCTAGAAAATTTGCAAAGAAATATTATTTACCATACCAAACTCTCAGGTTCTAGTGTTGAAAAATTACACATTACTGTTACTTATACCTGCTGCTGTAGAAAAAATAAAAGTTTATTCATTACACTTTTAGCTTTGATCATAAATAAAAGAGAAGAGGGCACCTTTTTTAATTTAGTCATGGTAGTCATTAGTGATATTTCTGAACAGTTCTTAATTCGAAATACTTCAAAGGAGGTAAAGGTCATGGCTGAGCTCAGTGAAATGCTCCAGAAGTTGTACTGTATAAACCATCAGTACAATAATACACTTTGTGTGTGTGTGTATATAAAATGAGAATTACAGCATAATTGGAGCATTCCCATTAATCAACAAATGCACATTGAGACAAACCTTAGTCTCACAGCCATCTTGATTAAAGCCAAGTGTTCCATGTTATTGTGAAGAATAGTCGTTCAAATACTTTGGAATACTTTGGAAAATAATTATTTGGAAATTATAAAGGAATTACATTTTTGTATTTAAACGCCTATAGAGATCTCAATTCCTTCAGTCTGAGTTTGTGTGTTCAATTCTAAATTTGTATCATAATCTGTCTTTTGTGGAAGATTTTGAAACTAGTATGTATATATATATATATACATATATATATATAGTATATGCAAATTGTGTTGTTTTACTGGTAAAGGGAAAAGGCTTATTTTTCTTTATACTTCTGATAGTTTTTTTGCGTATAACCAGCACTAACTGAAAGGCATGTTTAATTGCAAACACTGTTGCTTTTTTGTGACATGAAAATAAAAGTATTTAAATACAAATATTGTGTGGACTTTTCAAATAAACAAATCACATACATAAAGTCATATTTCTTCTCAGCTTATGAGGTCTGACAGAGCAGTTCCATATGCATTTGTCTTTAATAATTTGCTTCCTAACTCACCAGTACCACAATATCATCCTTAACACATAGAACTCAAGATACATCAAACTCACACTATGAATATTTTGGACCGTGAGGGCTGTCCTGTGCATCATATGATGTTTAACAGTGACCCTGGCCTCTAATGCCAGTTGCCATGGAAGCCACTAGATGCCAGTATCAACCCCTTCCCTCTCCTTCCCCCTTGATGAGAAAACCAAAAATGTCTACTCCAGACATTGCCGGATGTTTCCTGGGGTGGGAACTAAAATTTTCAAGAATGCACACATCAAGAGGCTCAGTAACAAAGGAGCACCATACAGGACAACTATTTTTGGGCTGAAGCAATTCTTAAAAACACTCAGATCCCCTAAGTAGCAATGGGTACAGTAATAGAATAATACCTAAATCAGTATGAGACATGTAACTACCTATGCCAGCATGGCCCAGGAACACTCCTACTTTGAAGGTGAGACGACACTCCTTATTTTGATTAACATGTAGTTGGAGCATGAGTACGCAGGCTTCTTGGAGGGACACTACTACAGCTAGACTCCTGGGCAGACCCTCAGAACAACTTGTTTGTTCTATAGCTATGAGTAGTCTTGAGGGAGGACTGAGAATGTCTTAGGCTTCCACATACAGAGACTAGAAACAATGTTCTTTTACAGTAATTATTAGGGTTTAAAGTTGTACATTGAAGGGCAAATTTAGTAAGTTTCAACCCCCTCTAGATCCAGTAATTGGCAGTAAGTTTCCAATGCTTTGTGATTGTGTATATTTTATTTTTCTTCATGTGGAGCTTTAGTAAACTATATTAATATTATTTCAATGTTAAAATTTAGTGATGATGTGAATAAATCAAATATCATGCGTTCAAAAGAGTAGCCCTTTGTGCGTGTTTCAATGAGATGCCGTCTTCCTGGGGACACAAAAACTTCATGCTATGCCCTTTTTAATCTTTTATGATGATCATTACCAATATGCAGAAGAAATACTCTTAGGAATTACCAAAATTTTGGTCAAAAAATTCTTGGTTACATTTTAAATATTTTTTATTCCCAGATATTCACAGTGAACAATTGAACTAAAACCTATTAGGATCTGTTGATTGCAATAGATTTTTTAAATGGAGAATAATAAACCTTTCCCTATTTTTCAGTATCATTTTTAGACATGGCAGAGAAGAAATTTTGCTTTCTTTCTTCAATGTTTACCACAGTTTCCCTTCTCCCAACACACACAAAGCCTCCAGTATTTACTTAAATTTGTGAGCAAATTGAATAGTTGACATATGCTATAAAGGGGCATTTTATTATCAGAGAACAAAAACATACTTTGTTATTAATTACCAACCCCTAGTAAGGTTTCCAATGCTTTGTGAATTGTGTATATTTTATTTTTCTTCACGTGGAGCTATAGTAAACTATCCTAATATTTCAATGTTAAAATTTAGTGATGATGTGAATTAATCAAATATCATGAGTTCAAAAGAGTAGCCCTTTGTGTATGTTTAAATGAAATATGTCTCCAGTCAGCTGGCCAAAATCTAATTGAAACTAAAGGTACTTTTGGGAGCACTATGATTTCTGTTATTGGCTGTGCTGAGTTATATTTGAGATCTTTACTTACACATAGAGTAACTTCCAATTTTCCATTCATTTTTATAAAAGAACATAGTGCAAAACATAAGATAAAATTGAGAGTTAAACTGTTGACAAGCAGATAGAATCAGGAGGCAACAGTTAGAAAATCTGGGGGCCTACAAGCAGCCAGGTAAGCAGGGGAGAAACGGGGTGCCAGTGTGTGTTTATTAAAGTGTCATTTGTGTAAAAACCAAAGGTAGGAAATTAAAAAGCCCATTTGCTCAGTGTTTTCTGATCTGCTCAATGGATTTTTTTGACATTGTTTCAAAGTGCTCTATAATATAATTTTTAATTTCAGCAAAAGTTTTGGAATATTACTATTATCACATGATAACAAATGGCAGTGATTTCAAGAAATTAAAATACTTGAAAGACTGTAGAGCATAGACTGACATTAATCGGAATTATAACTGATTTCTGGTTTGATTATTTTCCACTTAAAAAATTGGTTTTAAGTCCTTTAGCCTCAGTTTCCTCCATTTATAAAACCATGATACTATCTACCTACCTTACCTACCTACCTGCAGGGTTGTGAAAACTAAATAAAATATCTATGACTTTCCTGGTATGGGAACTAGCATAGGCATAATTGTTAAAAGTGCCAACTGCTTTCTGAGATGTATAGGTGTTAATATCTTCAGTAACAAATGGAAATGGTTTTGTAAAATTGAATAAGGTTATACAACTGCCAGTTAGGAAATTATAAAAATAGCTTAATGTGCTTTTTTATAAATGTAAGCCTTAAATTTTCTAAGACTTTGTTTAAGAGACATTGTAGTATATTAGAAAAAATGTGCAGTTATATTAGTTCCACAAATGAAATAAAATTCTGAGTGTTGATGAAGCTTGGCTAATTATAAGTAAATATGAAATAAAATTCTGACCCAGTTAATATTCAGTGGGGATAATACCCACTTTGCAGTAAAAACATGAGGCACAGGTGTATGGGAAAATAGGCCTGGTGCTTCATAGATGCTGTTAACATCTCTTAATTTATTCTCTTAACTTATTTGCCTTAATTATGCAAAAGAATCAAGCATGCTCAAGTTTCAGTTCTACCTATAAAACATTGTATGCAAATTATAACTTAGATGCTATGATGCAGAGATATTGGCCAAATGTTTTAGGATATCTTATTGTTAATGCTAGATGGAACCTTCCACATAACTTAGTCTAGCTCCATCATTTTATAGATTCAATCATTTCATAAATTAGTGGAACCAGAGATTACACTTTGAATAAAATCCCACATAATAACATTACATGTTAAATTTGTATTTGTACTTGGAAACAGTTTGTATTTATCACTGTTGAAATAGATGAAGTACAGTTGCCCACAGGACACTGTTTCCTTGGAAAAGGGAGTATAAGTATTTTCTATCAGAATTGGGGGCCAGTGGTCACACAGGTAATCCTAGCTTCTCAGGAGGATCACAGTTTGAAACCAGCTTGGGCAAATAGTTTACAAGATCC